ATTAATAACGGGATTGACTGAAAATCATTATTAAGATCTTTCTGGGCTGAAAACTTCGGTAGGAGTCTAGAGGGGCAAGAGAACCAACAAGAGGCAGTGAAGTATTCAATACAATCATTCAAATGGAAGCCGGCCACCTGCGCGAAAACCCACAAACTCCTCAACAGCAAGAAACACTTCCAGCAATCACGTCCAACGCCTTCATGGCTTCCGTGAGGTCGTCCAACACGTTCAATTGCATGTTGCAAGATAGGATTAAATTATAATTTTAAAACGGGATGGAGTAGGAATCTGCTTGGGAAAATATGTGGCAAGGTGACGTATTGAAGGCTTTCTTACTCCGCCATCGTTTCGATATCGTGTCAATTACATTGGGTAATTGAATTAAAACATAGCACGGAGTAGCGGAGTAGTGCGGAGTAGCGAAGGATTGGTGAATGTTGCCTGGCTGCAATCGCAAATCGCTACATTGAAGCTGGGGAACGGAGACAGCTGATACCACATGTGCGCTTTTAAGGTTCCATTTTTGGGGCCGGAAGGTTAATTGAAATGAGGCTTCGCATGTGCGGGCCTCCTCTGTTCCAACTCTATATGCTGGTTGCTTGAATATGCGCACTTATAATTTTTTTTTGCTACTCAATTCTCTTTCATAGGCACATTGTCGTCATGATTGATGTTGCCTCTGCCCTAATTCGGTGAATTTAATGCAATTGTGTTTCCGGCTTGATAAACGACCTGGCGAGAGCCATCTGGCGTTGGACGGAAAAAAGCTGTGAATTTTGCGATTTCCCAAAAATGGGACCGTGAAAGTGCTTTTCTTTTGTTCTTTTACTACGCTGTGCATGTGGTCCCAAAAATGGGACCGCCAGGCGGTCCCATTTTTTGGAACCGTGTCTAACTTCATTTTTTAAAGTTTTTGGTGTCAGGGTTGCATAAGCGCAATGTTTTGGTTTCAATGAAACTTTGTGGCTTATGGCGACCGGACGGGCAACTAGGGAGGCGCTTTTGAGCGGAGCCGGTTTTGAGAAGGTTTTCTGGACCCAGAATTGGGTCCGTTAGAGCAAGCAGTTTTGTAGATGATTTTGTTTCTTGTTGGGGCAAGCGGGGTGCATATCGGTTGCTGCTTGAACCCACTTTAAGTTAGCTTCTTATTATTTCGTTGCGTCTGGTGGCTTGATTGTTTGCCGCTAAAAGAAAGCCCATCAGCCTTTTGCAGCCCTTAGGTGATTGCTTGAAGTGTTTCTTGCTGTTGAGGAGTTTGTGGGTTTTCGCGCAGGTGGCCGGCTTCCATTTGAATGATTGTATTGAATACTTTACTGCCGCTTGTTGGCCCCCCGTGCCCCTAGACTCCTACCGAAGTTTTCAGCCCAGAAAGAACATGAATCATGATCTTTTCAATCCCGTTATTAATTAATAGTATAAATTTAAAACGGGATGGAGTAGGAATCTGCTTAGGAAAATATGTGGCAAGGTGACGTATTGAAGGCTTTCTTACTCCGCCATCGTTTCGATATCGTGTCAATTACATTGGGTAATTGAATTAAAACATAGCACGGAGTAGCGGAGTAGCGCGGAGTAGCGAAGGATTGGTGAATGTTGCCTGGGTGGTGCTGCATCGCAAATCGCCACATTGAAGCTAGGGAACGGAGACAGCTGATACCACATGTGCGCTTTCAGGTTCCATTTTTGGGGCCGGAAAGTCAATTGAAATCAGGCTTCGCATGTGCGGGCCTCCTCTGTACGTACACCACGCGATGCCAATTGTTGAAATTAATTCGTTTCATGCACTAGCGAGGCGATGGACGGAAAAAAAGTAATTTCTTGGACGCTCACCGATTATGATTTTAGGACCGAGCCAAATCCAGAGCAGATTACGCCCATCAGTCTTGCACAGCCTCCTTTTTAGCTTTCAGAACCTGATTTCGCTTACTGGTTGTGCACCAATGGAGAAAGATGCTATTCACCGCATGGCAACATTGATCACCCAGCTGACACTATGTCAAGTCTCCATTGAAGAGATTGAAGTCTCTGCTGATGTATTGGAAAAGCCAGCCGACAGTTAAAAAATGTCCCAGGAGTTTGCCCAAGTATGTCACTGACTTAGAGGATGCAACACTCACTTGCACCAACTTCTTCGAGACAAGCTCGCTCTGAGATGATGCTGATGCAGGAAAAGATCACCTGAGAGGACTGAATAACGCGCTGCCTAACCTTTTCATCCTTAGGTCCTGTCTCACTCTGTGGTTTCACCATTCCTTTTGACTACGTGACTGTGTCACTGCTAGTCGTTAGGATTGCCTCAGACATGTGATCTTTTATGCCCGCGCGGCTTCCCCTGGGTGATCTCGGGGCTCCTGGCTCGGGGGAGCCCTGGTTTCCGCTAGAGTTGTGTTGCTTCTTTCACATGTCTTTATGTATGCCGCAGGTTTTGCTATTTTCTGTGTCGTGTTTTGTTCTCTCGCGCCATACAATGATTCCACCATGATGCACAAGATATCTCTTTTCCACTGAGCTGGCCTTGTTCACAATGCCGATTTTGCGTTTCGGGTGTTTTTGTTTGTTTTGTCTTTGGTTTTTGTTTTGTGTTGCTTGTGTTTTGCTCTTGTTTGGTTGTTGGTTGGTTCTGCTTTTTTGGTGTTTCATCATGGCATTGTGACTGCCCTACAGGACTGTGTAGCCGGTCCTCAGCCAGCCCTATGATTGGGTTCACCAATGCGCCGTGAAGGCTTTTGCGCACGACCCAATCGTTGCAATTAATTCGTGTCATGCATTCGCGTTGTGATCGACCTTGCGAAAGCCAAGAGGCGATGGACGGAAAAAAAGTACAGCTTTGCCCAGATTTTTTCTTCTTCAACCAGCTTTGGCGCTCTTCCGGTTGCAAGCCAAGCTTCCGACCCGGATCCTGTTGCCACAGCTGTCGAACTGTGCTTGAGGGCGGGAAGCTGACATCCAACGCGCCCAATGACACGACTGGGGAGGTCTGTCAAGTTTTTCTTGTCTTTTTAGGTCCAAAACAGACCCTTCTTTGTGACAGGTAGAAATAAAAGCCGTCCAAACGCCACCTTTTGGACTCCTGAGCTGGCACAAGTGCACATAACAAACCCGACATCCGAAGACTTTTGTGAAGCAAGTTTCATCTCGCAGAGTCTGTGTGTGCAGATGCTGCAAAGAATGATGGTCTTATTTTACTGAATCATTGTGTGGATGGGGTGCGGGGGATGTGTTCATATTTGACACCCGCCGCTTTGGCTAGCCTACTTTTCGAGCTTCCGGAGCCACAAAACAGTGGAAAAACAAAATGCTCCGCGACTTGTCTACCTTTTCGCGCATCTGCATCTTCTTTCTTCTGACTCTTTCTCTTTTCTGATCTTCTTACTTCGCACTTTTTTCTCTGACTCCTCCCACTTCTGCTTTTCCATCTGTCCATATTGTTGCAAGTTTGGCTTGTAAGCTTCCTTCGTTTATATTATCTTGTTGAAAGTTGTTGAGGTTCAACGGGGCTTGGGGCACGTCATGCGTGAACTTTTTGATGGAGTTTATCCTTGGGTCTTGTTGAATTTGGCTGAGAGTTGTGATGGACCAAGCGCGAGCTGTGACGAGGTGAAGCGACGTCATGTTTGGAGCAAATGCATTGTCTGGAAACTGGAGACGAACAAAAATTTTTAAATGGATTTTATGCTTGGGTTTTGTTGGATTTGGGTGAAGTTTGTTTTGAATAAATTTAACGAAGTGTGTGAGAGAATGTGAGAGGGGTTAAGCAATGTCATGCATGGAACCGACGCGGTTAAAGCCGAGTTCTGCCTCGGGAACTTTAAAAAAGAGTTCCGCACATTCAACCCTCGCTGGCTTTCGTTCCCTCCCTCTCAAATTTCAAGTTTCAAACTGTATTTAGTATTTTAATTTTTTCAGATTTTAATTATTGAATAAATTGTAGATTGTAGCAGATATAGACGATATAGAGCATTTCAAGTATTGTCATGAAACGAATGTGTAGTGAAATTGGGAATGCAAACTTTTGGCAGTTCGCTCTCATGTTGGCACAGTCCCGGGTACAAATCATGCTGTGCGGCAAACAACATAGCAGATTTCCACGTGTGTGAAATCCGTGAACCTATTGTATCACCATGCATGCATACTTGCGTGCATATTTTGTTTTTGCGAGCAGCGTTTCATCGTTCTACAAACTCCATTTCAGTTGGCCCTTCGTCGATTGATTCGTTAGGTTTCAATCATTTGAAACACATCAGTGCGTGTCACTGCTTTAAAATTGTACACATTTTGTTCTTCAGCAAAAAAACCGTGGTTTTCCGACCCAAAACATGTATCGAAAAACACTTCCGCATGAGAAAAATGTTTTCATACATTCCATGGAGTCATGCCGAAACCGAAACCCACGCCCATCTTATAGAAAAAACAGGCAACGCGTTTTTGTTGTTGTATGATATGAATGCATCTTTCGTTTGAAATGATGTGAAAAGGGTCGTGCCCCCAAGTACGGGGTGTGGAACATTGACAATTTTGGTGGATCATTTTTAGAAACTATACAGTGGTCATATTTTGAAAAAACACGATCCGACTCTTTTGTGTAAAATGAATTGAACAGGGGATGATCTTGGAAAAAAAAAAGCAAAACAAAATATGTTTTCCACTTCCATGAGACGTGTCCCTCCTGTTAGTAAAGTAATACTGAAACATATTACAACCCTTTGTATCTCGAAGGTAAAAATTGAAAATAATTTTACATCCCATGTGCATTGGTTCCCCAATATTGCAATACCATGCAGATAGACGTTGCAAGTCAAGAATACTGAAATAACAACACGCAAATAACAGTTCCAATTCCAACATGTTGTGTGTGACATGCTTGAACCTCAAATTTAGTTTCCAAAAACATTAAGTGTTTACCTTTCAAAAGGTGTAAAAAATGGTATCGTTAAGGAAATGCCGGTGCAATTTTAAAATGATGCCTTTTCCCAGTTGATTGATGATGGCGTTGGCTTAGCCCTGGGGAGCGCGCGCGCTGCAGTGTTTGTCCGGGCGCACTTGCAAGGTTCGCGGGGGGGGGGGGCTCTGCGAACCCCATCTTTGTTGATAATTGTGTTACTTTGCATTGTTACGCTGTATATAGGACAAATCGCACCCATTGCGGAAATCTCCATCCATTTGCCCAAACTGGTCTGCACCAAATTTGCAAAATGTTGAATGTAATTGCGTTTTCAGGAATTCATGGTTTCCTTCCATGGGCAAAAAAATGATTTTCCCCATGTCAGCGCACACAGGGTTTGGGTTTTTGGACAATGAATTTTATGGATCGACCACGGCCACCCTCTCCTTGTGTTTTTGATTTTCACAATCGTGGGGAAAAACAACATTTTTGGTGGAACTGGTTTTGTGGGCACGTATTACAGTATGAATCCTATCAGCATTTGGTGATTTCAAACATTTGTTCGCTTTTGACTTTGACCCCGAGATGATGTCCCCATATATTTCTCATTTGGTTTGAACCAGTTTATATACATCAACCGCACGAAAACATGCTGCGATTTTTGTTGGTTTTCACTGTTCAATGTTTTGAGGGTTGCACTCTACCAGATGTGGGAAAACATAGGAAACGGTCCAACGTTTTCAAGTGTGAGGCCGCTCGCCATGGGTTTTGGTGGCTGGGGCAAGGGCAAGTTTGGGGGCGGATGGAGCCCCTGGCAGCCGATGTGCCTTGGGAAAGAAACATCTTCGAGGTGAATACGCAAAAATGGTCCCCAAAAACAAAGGAAAATGATGATTAAACTGATTAAACTATGAATTTGGAGGTACCGTATCACAACTATCACTATCTTCAAAAAAACCCATATTTTGGAGAATTAGAGAAAAACAGGTTTGTTTCCGTGGGGTTGGATCTCAAATTTTGGTAAAGATGCCACCCTGTTTGATGAGAGGCTCTGTCCATAGATCCTGTTGGTGTCAGCAAATTTGTTGGGCCGAACGGGCTGCAGAGACGGTTATTTGCATTGCATCTCAGATCTAAGGTTTATGAAGTGGGGCAAAGGCAAAGGCAAAGGCAAAGGCTACTCCGGCCTTAAGGTTGGCGGTAGGATGTTTTTTTTGTTTGGTATGTTGAGACCGCTTGAATGAAGTCTGTGAAATTATGGTGTGAATGATCCATGGTATTTGGGTCTCAAATTATCGCACCCTTGTAGTATTTTTTTTCCCACACTTATCACACTTCCAGCTTGTAACAGGTAAGAACATATGAGCTACAACCAAAATTTACCGTAATGGAAAGTCATCTTTATTTTTTGGAAATTGAGCCGGGGCTTGGAAAACGATAATACACTCTTCAAAAAACGAAAACAAAACATGGATTCCCAAAACCTGAAAAACGATAATACACTCTTAAAAAAAATTGATGACTTGGAGCTATATACCAAATATTGACCGTGGCCCATATGTATATATTATATATAGTACCTATGTTTGTAGCACACGAAGGTATCGCTGGACACCACCTGGACGTGGTTACGGGTCGTTCTTTCGCAGGTGGATCCATCTCTGAAGTGCTGGATTGGCAACTTGCCCGAGGGAACCGAGTGGAAGGCGCTACAAGAGCACATGAACCAGGCCAGTACAGTCGACTTCCTCTTAAAATGTGTACGAAAATAGAATGGAACGCACCTCAGTTTTTGGTTATTTTCAACTGGGAAAATGACTGTCACCCACTCAAAATGTTTTTGAAGGGAGAATCTGAGTGATTGGAAGCTCATCTCGGCTGGAAATGCAAGGTGCAAATGCTGAAATTTGAATCAACATTGGTTGATGAATATCCTGATGAAAGATGGCTGAGCCACCTGCTCAAAGAAGAATGATGATAGTGGCAATAGTCCCCATCTAAACATTAAGTGTACCCATTCAGCCAGGTCAATGCAAGCATCAGCCACTACAGATGAACTATCCCAGTCGTGGTTTGTTTGGGAATATCTGCAGGAAACCCCGTTTTTTGGATGTAGAACCCCGGTTTCCCGTAGATTATAGATTTTCCTTGAATCTAAACCAACATCCCACACTCACATGGCTACTGTAAGTATGGAGGTTCAAACTCTTGCTTTTACATTCCAAGTTTTGTTGCTGAAATCCCATTTTTTCCTAGGAAAACTCAGCATTGTTTGTTTAAGTTCAGCAACCCTCCAGGGGTTCCGAAAGGGTTCCGAAACTGCGGTGAGGCGGGCAAGACGACCTGGGTGGAATGCTTCAGCGGCCGCGGCAGCGGCACGGCCGGCGTGGCCTTCTCATCGGCAGAGGAGGCCGCAAATGCCATCACCATGCTCAACGGGACCGGGGCTTCGGGCACCCGGTGGAATGGGATGGGTTTGGCTTGGGAACTGGTAGAAACATGTAGAAACATATAATTCACGTCGCTTCGCGACGGCAACCGCCCGCACCGCATCGTTAGGCAGCCGCTCGTAACTGCCAATGATGTCGGCCATTGAGACCAAAAACATCCGAAAGTACTGATTGTCGGAAAAAAAAACGCGAAGAATTTGATAGCCATGTATAGCGGACCAACGCAGTTCAAAAAATAACGAAAAACATGAAAAAACGGCGAAATTGCTGTTATTTACAGTGTTTTTGCGCGGTGAGAAGCAGAAACCACTGCAAATACCATGGTTTTTGAGGGTCAGGTGGCCAAAAACACTGTAATTTACAGTGTTTTTTTAACCAACGTCAAAAAACACTGGTATTTACGATGTTTTCATTCACACCGTAACATAAAACAGCGTAATTTACGAGGTTTTTGGAAGTTTTGAAGCTAGCCGTCAAGCATGCAGAAAACAGAAAAACACTGTAAAAACCAGTGTTTCTGCTTTCACAAAACGACGAAAATCAGTCCGAAAACGGGTCCAAAAACTCAAAAATCATCCTCCGGGCCCGGCCACCTGCGGAACCGCAAAAAAACGATGTTGCAAACCAAAAAATTGAGGTCAAAAAGTTGAAAAACACGGGGTTTTTTCACTTTTCGCTTGCCGATTTTGGACGGGCGCGTTCACGAACAGGTGTCTTCCGTACTGTTTTTTACAGTGTTTTTTGAAGGCGAGCGTCACGACCTATCAAAAACAGGAGGTTTTGGCCGAAAAATGCCCCCCCCCCCCCAGGTAAACCTGTAACCTTTTACGAGTGCCATCCGGAAGATCACGCCCCAGCACCTTCGGTGCGGGCGGATTCTGTGACTGGCAGTTTTATCATGTTTTGTTTTAAGGTTTTTTTGGAGAAAGCCAAATTGGGGCGGGCGATTCCTTACCAGCAAAACTTGTGTTTCGATTAGCACAACATGTGGTGTTTTGGATGGAGGGCGGGCTGGAATGGGATCCTTTCATGGGGCCTTGTTCCCCAGTTTTGAGATGTGCCAACTGGATGCAACTGGATGATTCGCCACATTTTGGGCCATGGAACTGGTAGAAATGGGCCCCATGGGTTGGGTTGGTATGAGATGTGAGTTCCACTCAAGAAAAACAGGAGGCTTTTGTTTACCGTTTTAATCAGCAAACACGTGGGGTCCCCAATGGACCAATTCAGATGTGGGGATGAAGCTATTTTGGTGTACTGTAGTTTGGCTGTCGGACTTTCCATAATGAACTGACCCATACCCAATGGGTGATTTCACCATATTTTAGATTTGATGAAATCACAAGACAATCCTTGAGGCCACCTGTCAAATATGCTGCTCAAAAAATCCACATTGCCAGGTCAAAGCTTTTTTCATGTCGAAGTTGGTGTCCCATTGAAGTGTCACTCACAGCTTTGCTAACATCCAACATCCCCATCCTCAAGCCGCAGGAGCTTGCTGAATGGCCAGGCCATTATGGTTGATGTTTGGGTGCGATCCAGCCCCACGGATGCACCTCAAGGCGGTGACCGGACCGTGGCGAATGGCGTGGGCGATGTGGGATATTTGACCCCCTGGTAGTTGATCTTCCTTTGAAGACACTCAACAGGTTTTTAGGATTTTTATTTTTTTAGGTGCTGTGCTTCTCCCAATTTGGGTTAGTTTGGAGCAATTCATTTCTGCAGGTTGAGATGAGTTCACCATTGGGCCTTGTGAGGTGCTTAGAGGGTTTTGGGACCGACAAGTCGGGTACCCGGTCTCAGTAAAGAGCTGGAAAGCATGGTGCAAACTTGAAGATCTCATTTTTGGCTTTTGATTTTTGTAGCTCTTGGATTATGGGATTTGGCAGCGATCAATTTCCATTATAGACAAATTCACGTTGGTTTTGACATATTTTCATTGGCATCCTGCTCTTGCTGCCCGAATATGCTGCGCGAGCCAGCTTCTGATCTCAGTGCGGCTGAGAAAAAAACGGCAGCCATTCACGGGAGATGTGGGTATGAGTTCCAGTGAGTGTCTCAGCCAAAGCTGTTCAGTTCCTTGTTGGAATGTTTTGGAATGTTTTGGACTGTGACCGCACAGGGTTGTGACCCACAACTTCTTAACTGTATGCCGTGTCTTGAAAGAATGGACCTGCACCTGCAATAGCAATACGGACCTCTTGAATCAATGTTCCAACCATTTTCTCAGTAAAGGGATCCCATAGATGGAACAGTATATTGTCACCAAAATCTGCTAAAGTCATGAATGAACCATACATAGTGAATTTTACCATTTGGAGGTTTTCATAGATCTGTCATGGACCTTAAAAAGGGGATGATGGCTCAGAGTTTACCGCATTGGGAATGTTTCCAGGAAGTCGTGTGCTTCGATGTGGATATTTTTCGGTTGCCTGAACTTGCCGTCGCTCAAAGCTTTGGGGCACCACACAGAGAAACGTGCAATTTGTGACCGAAAACCACCAGGTCTGCAAATTTCCAAACTACGTTGCATCAGATTGGAATTATGGCAACTGCTTTACATCAACAGGACTGCAGTTGGAACATCTTAGACCTTGGACAGGGTCTACAGGATCTCCCTTACTCAGAGAGACTTTGTGTAAAGAAAAAACATCCACAGAGTTGGCGCTGGCCCCAACCCTTGCCATGGTGAGTGCGCCTGAGCCAGAGTTGCAGTCACAGGCGTGGGGTTGGTATGGAGAATTCCGGAGGTTTGGATCTTTTCTTTTTGGGCATCAGAAAAAGGTAGAAAAGTCAAACACAAACACTACTGAAATATCAGCGAATGATGGGGAACAACGTTTCAATTCTTCTCCTATCTGGCCGCGTGGTCATTGAAATGACATCGGATATGGATGGATATGGCATTTTGACATGGAGACGACCTGGGCCCAAAGAAGAGAAGACTCGATCCAAAGACCAAAATTGGAGTATCTTTTTCTGACAGATGCACGCCTTTCGCAGATTTGGTCAGCACAGACGGGGACATGCCTAGCTGGTAAATCTTGCTGAACAACGATACAACTCCCCAGCTCCAAAAATCTGCACATGTAAATGCTCCAACTCCAACAATCCAGTTTACATACAGAATATATATATATATACATTATATATATATATACATTCTATATATATATATATACACATTATATATATATATATATATGTACAGTTGCTGTCTCCGGTGCCCACTCACATAGCCTTACAATATCGCAGAACTATGCTTAGATCATTCAAGGAAAAGTCCTATTCCCCAGTGTCCAGTGATCATCACAGCCACATTTTCTGCCGTGCCGGCGATTTCCTGCATGGATACGGGTGCGCCCAGCGATTCGAAAGCGACTGCTGAGGTCAATCGTTGATCTTGTTGCCTCTTATGTGGTATCCCTACATCCGTTTTTTGCTCGAAGTGACTTACCCCTCAATTGGATGATTAAATTACTGATTACTGTAGACTGATTAGACACTAAAGATGCACTCCAGATCACTTGGGTCGGCAAGGCACCAGTTGCCATGCGAATCAGCAGCGACTGTATTCAATACGGAAGTGTCACAGAATCGACTAGGCTCCTTTAAGATGCAGTTCCAGCTCCGAGTGGATATAAAATCACCATAGTTGTAGGGGCAATGTCTCAGCTTAGGGAGATGAAATCCCATGGTTATACCCATCGAACTAACCCCAGCTGCATCCCCAGTGATCCCCGAGGTGATTCATGGCTGCGACCAGCGTGCTCCACTGGTCGAGTTTCATCATCCTGCGTTGGAAACACCGCTGCGCTTCGAGCAGCGAGGTGCACCAGCTTTTTGAGTTTATTTTGCAACCGCCAAAAAAAAAATGTAAAATCCTACTAAATTGCTAAAGTAGTGATGATTTACTTATTTGTTTTTCCAAAATTGCCTCGAGTGGAGTGAGTATTTGTGACTGGTTACTTTTTTTCTGCTCATATTTTAGCTTGTTGGATGTTGCTTAGTGATTCGAAGTGAACGCTTTTCAGGTGATTGTTGGCTGATAGTGCCCAAAACTCACCAGATTGTTCGTTATCATTCCAATTTGCTCAGAATTCTTACTACCCTCCATTTTTTTCGAGATCATCAAACCAAGATCAACCCTATATATATATATATATACACTTTCCCCATCTTCCCCCCCACATCATGTCATGTTTTGACATCCAGGTGCCACGTCTAGTGACTTCGTGCAGGGCACCTCTTCGGTTCTGTGGCCGGCCGCCACGCGCCTGGCGGAGCACTTCTGCGGCGCCGGCAGGGCGCCCGGGGGCGGCGCCTGGACGACGCTGCGCGGCCTGGAGGTGGGCGCCGGGCTGGGGCTGACGGGCGCTGCACTGGCGGCGCTGGGAGTGGCCATGGTGCTGACGGACTGCGAGGTGGCCATGCCCTTGCTGAGAAGAAATCAGGAGGGGAGGATGTTGTTTGGGGATGTTGTTTGGGGATGTTGGGGATGGGGATGGGGGAACATTGGGATATGATTGATATGATATATTGGGATGTGGAAGTGCAGAATGTGTGGCGATGAAAAGTGGGGGGTTACCAGGAGCTGTTGGCAGAGTCCTCGGTGGAGTTGCAGGTGTGCAGACTTGACTGGGGATCCAAAGTGGATGAGGAGGCGCCCAAGGGTTTAGACTTAGACAGACTTTTGTCAAAGGTTTGTGCTCCACCAGGGTGGCTTTAAGCTGATGTGATCTGCCATGAAACCTTTTTTTAAATGTGGTTGAAGCCTCGTGTTATCTGTTATCGAGTTTTGTTGGTGGTCCCGCCGAGAATTCCTGGACACCTGCATCCCATTGAAGATGATTTGGGCACATAAATGCTTTGGGTTGGGAAGTCCGTGCCGTAGATAATTCCGAACCGCCATGTGTATCAATTTCTGATGTTCCCTTTTCAAGTTTACCTGTCTCGACATGGTGGTGGTATGTCAAGGTCCTGTTTTATTGTGGGGAGACTGTTTTCAAGCAAAAATCAGGCAGCAATAGGAGACTTGCAACGATTCCAAGACCATTTGTTTGTGACCATTTTGATCAAGTAGAGGCACTTCTGGCAGAGTTTGGGCAGTTCGACCTGATTGTTGGAAGCGACATTATCCTCTCCTCCTTTGACGCTCAGATGACTTCAATGTTCATTTTTTTTTGAATCTTATCACCTAATATGTATACATCACATCACATTACATATCATATCATTATCATTAGCATTATCATTATCATTATCATTGTCATTATCATTATCATTATCATTATCATATCATATTATACTATACATGTGCATATTAACTACTGTGAAAGAAGGGGTCTGGGAGTTTGGCAGTCTAGACAATTTTCTCAGCAAGAAGACATGTTTTGTTTTCTTAGGAAGCTCGAGCTCGGCGAAAATCCGAGATATGTGAAGGAAGGTAACAAAGGATGAAGCGGTCTGATGAATGTATAACTTTAAACATTTTGGGCCTCCAAAAACTGTCTCCAGTGTCCAATTTACACATCCTTACCAGGGAGGAAAAAACAGCTTTGGACCAATTGAGGATCTGGACAAGCTTTTCAGCAGCTGCTACGCTTTGCTGGCACGGTCAGCAGAGGCCCGATTGATTTTGGCCTTTGAGTTTCGAGAAGATTGGCAAGCCATTAGCGACTTCATTGGTTGGGCGGAAGCAGCCAACATGGAGGTGCCAAGGGGTGGAGGAATGACGGAGAAAACTTGGGAACAGAATGTCAATTTGAGAAAGTGAGCCCTGGGCCAGGTGCAACATGAGGAACTGGGAGATCCAGATGATGAGATTTACCTCTACACCTTCCGTTGGAAAGATGTGACCTGATGTGACTTGAGCATACTTTTGCCGTGGCTTCAGCGGCGCAGTTCATCGGTGCGAGATCCACAGAGAAAAGACATACTCTTCAGCAAGGCGGCAAGGCGTGTGCATCGCGATGTCTTGATGGAAATCTGAACCCAGCTGCGGTCTGCTGGTAGTGACCCCATGTGGAGGGCCTAGAGAAGACGACTGTGCGCCGGCCTCATGGCACCGTGACAACTCAGAGAGGTTAAAAGCAGGTGGTGTGTCAAACTTGATGACCCTGGAACCCATTGGTTTGAAACACGTGTCATGAGGGTTCCTTTGATTTGAAATCGGATGTGTTGGTCCATTATTGTATGAACATCGACCGCAGCAAGACTTGCGAAGATGAACCAACGAGAAATCTCTTGATCCGATCCCAGGCAAGTAGACGAACCACAGAGATCAAATGAACCAATTGGCCATGTGATGTCACTATGCTGCCCCTCTTGGACTGCTCCCACATATCAACCCCGGTGGTTCTCGTCAGCCGGCCGCTCCACTTCAGGGTGTGTCTGGAGTCAGGAGCTTATGATTGATACTATGAAGTTGATGGAGCCACTGCTGCAAGACAGAATTCACCTCGAAATCTGAACAATGAATCCAAGCTGAAACTGGACTTCCTTGATGAACAGCAGTGACTGGGAGATGTCTTGAATAAAAAGATGTACCGAAAATGGCCGTGAAGCTGTGAACCATCATGAAGTCATCCACCAGCTTTTCTGATTGCTCGAGGATGACTGTAAGATACTGGGTGCGCACCCAGCTTCAACCTGAAATGATGAGCATTTTCTGAGATTTCCAAGGTCAAGGAGGTGGTGCTGGAAAACTTTAAGTCTTATGAAGGGTGTGCTGCCCAGTTGAGCCTGGGAGGTCTAGCAAGGGCGACCCGTAGCTAAAACGCTCCCGTTTTCTGTGCTGAGGCAGGTGCGCGTGGGGCCTTTCAAAAAATTCACCTGTGTGGTGGGTTGGCGCCCTAACTTTGCCCTGGCAGAAGAGGTGGAGAAACTCTTTTAGGAGCGATCACAAGATTGACTTTGAATCTTCCTGGAGCCAACATTTTGGTGTTCAACTCGTCCTAGGCATCCTGCCTACTCAGTATCACATTCCCACAACTTCCTGCCAGGAGATCGTACATCTGATGCCTGTGGACCTGACCCTTCTTCATCCAGCTTTCCCAAAAATCACAAAGTAATGAACCCTCCTATTCATGTCCTGTTTTACTGATCTTATTACAATATGTTATTACTATTATTACTATAATCTATTGTTAGTCTTTATTATTATTTATCATTTACTATTTATTCTTATTCTTATTATTATCATTATTATTGTTATTGTTGTTTGGGACCTTTATACAGCAGTTTTTTATTACAGATCCCTGTTTCAAACTGCTCCCGGTTTTGCTTTTACTCGTGACGTGTTTCACCGAGGTCCCAATGGAGCTGGGAAGTCGAACCTAATGGACGCCATCAGCTTCGTCTTGGGTGTGCGCACGCGACACCTGCGCAGTGACCGACTGCAGGAGCCGAACTGACTTCCGTGGATCGATGTGAAATCTTGGGGATCTGCAGCCTTTCGAAGTTTTAGAGAAGATTTGGAGGTGACCACCATGATCCATGATTTCGAATGAAAGAGTCCCCTCAGAACAGGGTCGGATTGTGAGACACCCCAGGTGGGAAGCAACATCCGATCCAGGGCACACCAGCCCTGCAACATCTTTTTCAGCGATGAAATATGGACTTTGGAGAGGTTATTCTAGAAGTCGTGGCCATTGAGGGTGCTATGATTAGGTCAAAATGTTGAAGCGATGGAAATGTCATTCCCTACCATTTACATGATGAAACATCATTGTTCCAAAGCTTTTTCTCAGGATGAGGGTCCTCAAACAGATAAAAGCAGCGAAAACCGTCATTGTTTACCCCCAGCATTGGATGGCTTGAGATCCCTTTGTGAGGCCTTCCTGGTGGGACATTACAAGGGTCGTCTTCACCAGGGGCACCTTAATGGAGTTGATCTCCATTAAAGTCCCATATTGATGTCCCCTTTGCGGCTGAGTCATATCCCATCTGTCAGAGTATTTTCATCCCCATGATCCCATTTCTTCGAATAATTTCATATGTATCAAAGTCCTGCAAAATTAGGTGATAAAATTTCACCATATCTTTTCATCCAATGAAAACTGGTGATACCAGTTATGGCATATATTTTCACCATAGTTATAAGATATATGTTCACCATTTTTCACCATGCAATAGCCACACACACACACATATATATATAACTATGGTGATAGCCATTTTCACCATAAAATAACCATATATAAGTATATATTTATAATGTATATATATATATTTCACAATTTTTCACCATTTATCCCATTGAAGTTGGCTGATTTCTTCCCCCCAAATTCAGCTCGCCACTTTGGTCAAAAAGGAGCTGGTGCATCGCCATGAGCAGGAAGCCGTGAGCGATGTCAGCGGCAAGCGCTCTTCTGTGGAGCTGGTGCCGTGTCATGGGGAGTTTTTTTTTTTTTGTGGGACATATACCCTCTGGTAAACTAACATAGCTATGGAAAATTGCCATTTATAGTGGATTTTCCCATCAAAAATGGTGATTTTCCATAGCTATGTTAAATTACCAGAGGGTATATATATATATAAACATCTAAATATATACATAATACATGCTATTCAAAGTATATATATATATACATGTACATAGGTAATTGTAGAGTGTCTATATATACACCAACAATAAAAATCCTAGGCAAAACCCGTGGTGTTTGGTCATCGAATGGGGATTTTCCCATTATTTATAGGGTTTTAACTACAGACAGTAGGTATTTCACGAACGCAAAGATCGAATTCAAACAACAAGACTGAGTTAGGGGGGTTTCTAAAATGAGGGACCCCTAGTTATCGTCCAGGTTATTTGTCATTATCTAAGAATGGGAAACAAATGGTGAAACTGGGCACCCTACTTCAGAATGCACGTGTGTCAATAGGCTACAAGCCATGATAAGTATATCACATGTATATACTTTTCTGATGCGCAAATGGAAAGATGCCAGTGCAATTGTAAGTGGGCCTTCTTCATTTTCTCTCAGGGTTTTGCCAGCTCCATATATTGGTTTTCTATATTTGGTTGGAATATGTTGCCAACGTCATTCAGCTTCCCAAGACGTCAAACTCATAATGTCATTTCTGAAGGGAAACCATCCTGTGCGACTTTGGTATCTGTTTTTTTTTAGAACCAGATCAAACTTGTCCCGGCTTTCGCATGCTCAGGTTTATGTTGATGAGTCAGGAGGCCGCTCCGAAACTGGGGATGCGTTGATGAAGGATTCTGCACCATGGAACACCATGAAACCCTTGACATTCTCAACTGGAATGTGCAGTGAAGTGCAATGACATCAACCCGTGCTGTCCTTGAGCCACCATTCTCTTGGCAGATGCCAGTCTTGTCGATGAGAGGCTGACTCCTCGTGTAATTCTGAGGTCAAATTTAGTGCACCATTTCCAATACGAGTCCACCTGAAACATCCTGAAACATCTGGTGCACCTGGGCCAAAATTCAATACCCTCTGGTTATGTCAAAATAGCTATTGAAAATGGCCATTGATTTCGTGAGTTTTCCCATTAAAAATGGTGATTTTCCATATAAATCACCATTTTCCCATGGTTTTCCCATGGTTTTCCCATGAAAAATGGTGGATCTTTCCATAGTTATGTGGCTGTTTACCAGAGGGTATCTTCACCATTTGAATTTCGGCCAGATCGCCCCAGAGAGAAGACCTTCAGACGTGCCTGGACCTCAGCAATTCGAAGCAGGCAAAGCCATGTGGGTTGGTCCAAGAATGGGGGTATACCATGGTAAGATAACCCCTATATATATATATATGTATATGTATCACATCATATATATATATATATCACATCATACTCATATATATAATATATATATATATACACACTGTATATAGATATTGTATAAGATCTATTGATCGAGTATCATTTTCATGGGGAGCATGATCATCTGATGGGTACCTCTAGGTCATCCAGCCAGCTGCGGAGGCTGTGGGCTTGGTGGGCCAAAATGTGGGATTCGACAAGAAAAAACCATAGGGAATTCGGAACGGTGGTGGGGCTCTTTGTCTTCGGAATCAGATCTATTGGTCGACAGCTTCAGCGCCACAATGCGAAAGGGTGGCATGTTTCCACCCGAATCCTCATTTTTAGGAGACAACTAAGCCAGGTGATCACGTTGGTCAACAGAAATTAGAGCAGGCCTTCAAACTCCTTCAAAGTTGTGAAAACGCACCTAGTTTGGGAGACAGAATGTCAACCCCTGATCTGAGAGAGGTACAGCCTTGAAATTCAATGATCAGATTCTTACAAATGGCCATTTCCAACAGCACTTTCTTCATTGTAATCCCCATTTTGCAGGTTCCATGTTGAATTTTGCGGGTGTTCGCAATATGTTTCAAACTTGTGTAGCTGCAGAATTGGATGTAGGATCTGCTAAGAATTGACTGGTGTCATATGTGTTTTCCCACAGGTCTGATTTCTTTACAGTAGACTGTCAGGCACGTTTTCAGATCGATGGGGAGCCAGTGTCGCAAGAAGTTTATCTTAGTAGCCTGGAGGCGCCGGTTCAACGACTTGGGATGTGAAAGGGGTCCCATAAAATTTGGGCCCTGAAATGGGATCTTAAATGCGGCAGTGGATGGATTTTGCGTGAGTGAAGGTGGGTAAATATACCAATAGCGGGATTCTTGTCAGCAAAGCAGATGTAAATGCAATATCTGGAATATAATGCAACTCATGGCAAATTGTTTTTGTCCGGAAACGGGATGAGCTTTGATGGGGACGGTGACGATTCAACAATGGGTGTTGGTTGTACCCCGTTGTTGGACAACCTCTGTTGAGATGTGGCCAGGAGATCAACATCTTGTCCAAGGCACGTAATTTTTTAGTCTTCCAAGGGGTCAGACCCTCAGAGATCTTGTGGCCCACGGACTTCAGATGTTTTTTTTTGGTAAGAGATGTGGGTTCTGGGTGCTGTTTTGGCTGAACCCCAAAGAATCCACGGTGATGGCTTCTCAGGATATGGACTCTTTCCAACCATTGATTTCCCTGTGGCCTCCCACATCGGATGAGTAGCACAATGGAATATCTTGAAAAGTAGATTCGACCTGAAGACAAAGTCGGATTCGTGAAGAATTTGGTGATTCCATTCACCATCCCATCCATTTGGTTATTCCTTTTATTATTCCATATCCCGATATCCCATTTATCATTATGTTGAGGTTATTCCATTATATGTATATATGTATGCATGACTATATAAACTATATATATATCTGTATATATATATATTATATGCTAATTCTTCCCATTTGATATCATTTTTTCCATAGTTTTCCCATCCAATCATACCATGATTTCGACTGGTTTCACTGAGGATGTGGAGGCTGCAGCTCAGCGCCAGGGGAAGGAGCTGACCACCTTTCTGGAACAGGAGCGATGGATCTATTGGGATAGTGGGGGTATACCCTCTGGGAATTGGAGATAGCCATGGAAAATCTTTCCGAAAAAGGCCCATTGAGTGAGAATAATTTACTCAGTGAAAATGGTGATTTTCGATAGCAAACTGGTAACTTCGCAGAGGGTTGCATCCTCCAGAAAGACTTGAACATAGTGGCAAATTTATAGTATGTAATTTAGTCTTCAATCTATTTTTTTGGGTACTAAAATAGCATGAATAGTGCTTTTCCGATATTTCAAAGGCAAGAAGATGGCTTTCAGGAAACAACCTGCACCTCGTGGATTATCGATTCTCTAGAATGTTGCTAGATAGCACACCCTGAAATTCAGCAGCTGGCTCTCGCAGGAAATCTCGCGGATAGATTTGATTAGGACCTCACCCTCACTGCGACCTCATCGGAATGGTTAGGATTGGGGTATGCCCATTATTGCCCATTGTGGGCCTGAATCCAGGTTGGTGAATAGTGCCATAATTTCTCCATTTATCCAGACACAATTGTCAGCCTCTTTCCCGCGAGGTTTCAGGCTCCATCGCTTTTCGAGCGGAGTATGAGAAGCTGGCTGCGGACAAGGCGGGCTGGACTTTTTGGGGTTATGAAGAAGGACACCAGACAAGAAATCCACATTTTATTTTGAACCGATTGGAAACACGCCACATGAAAATCTGTAGGGAAAAACATCTGTCTATAAATGAAAAAACTGTAGGAACAACACTATAAATGGAAGATATCCAATGTCAGGTTCCATCAAATCAACATAGCCCCAATTCCAGCGGATTCCGGAATCATTTTTCCCACGAACATGGCAGTTTTTGGGTATACCCTATTCTTAGACAACCCCACATTAGGTCAACCTTAGTAGGTTCGATAGGTTAAATTCAAGCCATGATATGGAGAATCCACTATTCACTATTCAGCTAAGAATGGTCTTTTTTGCAGGGTATCCAAGGTCAAATGCATTGAGTGAACAGTGACAGAAGCCACGTGGTGTTTTTTTAACAATCATGGGGCTTGCAACGAGCAAGAGCAAGTTGAGAAACAAGGACCATGGGTATGAGATGTTTTTTTCACCTGGAACAGGTAGCTAATCACTATAGTAAGTAATAGTACTACTGCATTAGCTAACAACATTTGATCAGCCTATCAACCATTTCTCCTGCGATTTTCAGTGGCTGCGGAAGGGGTTATATCACCTGAGGCCCAGCGAGAGGATGTGGCACGGGATCTCTACACCAGGAGAGATTTTGGGTTCCCAATGCATCTGGATTTCCAGAGTTTTTCTTGTCATTTCTTTTCCTCTTCCGTGTCCTACTTTACTTTTTCATTGCTGCTATCAGTGCTGCAATTCTTCTATTTGTGTTGGTATGTCGAAGAGCAGTGGTCGTTTGCCCTGCAGGAAGAGAAATGCCCTCAGCGAAAAAAAGAGAATGTCCCAGCAGAAGGAGGAGGCTGAGAGGTGGGTTCCGATGGAAAGTTGAAAAAGAGTTCTTCACTTTTTAGCCGTTTTGCAATTTGGTTGTAGTCCTGGACCTTCTTTTGGTGAGTCTTCTATTGCACATGGCTGCTTTTGCTCTCACCTACTGTCCATTGCAACTGGTCTTGCAGGTATCGTAACATCGACACAGAAAGGAAGCAGCTGCAGGTAGATGCAGTTGGGGTCGTGCAATGTTGTCTGGTCTCGTTAAAAGAATTAATAATCCCATCAATTGGCAAGGGATGAAGACATGTATGGGGGCATAATGTAAGGTAAATCAACAACATGATGTTTGTACTATAGGATTTATATATTGGTATTTGTCACAGCATTTTCATAAGACAGATCTTTGAGTGTCGGAAGCCATGCAACAATGACAGTGTACCTGGTGGTGTTGCGGTAGAATCCCTCAAACCTTGACACAAATAGCACGCAGGACTCTGGAGTTGTGGTTGGGGTTGATGTCGATGCTGTTGAAGTTATTTTTTCCAAACATTGCCGCAATATATACCCGAGGAGTTCACATGGCTTTGTCAAGAAATGACGGGGATTTACGCAATTTAATGTCAATTTTGGGGAACGTATGATCGACTGCTGGATTCTGGGGTAACTCATATTTTTTGTGGTTACAAACCACGATTGTTATCTGTTAGGTTCACAACGGCTGTGCTTGTTGGTTGCAATCTGTGGTCTAGGACGGGTGGATTGCGGGTGCAAGGCACTCAAAACTGGGATTACACCCTGCAACCCTGAACCCTGGAATGCTGGAACCTGCTGTTGGGTTGCAAAGCTCGAGTTTATCCTCATACCCACAATTCTTATCGTTTCAATATGTTTCAATCCTCATAAATCCCAAAAATTAGGCTTAATCCATCTCAATCCCCCATAAATCAGTCATAAATCCCATAAATTTTTAAATCCCCAGAAATCCGGATCACTTTGGACAAGCAGATCCCATGGAGTTTTCCAGTGCCAGGCAGAGTTCGTGCTCTTTCGGGTCTGCTGTGCTGAGACCAAGGTTCAGGAGCCGAAAGCCAGCCTGGGAGCGGACGCAGAAAAAATATGGCCATGGAATATTGGGAAGACAAGAATCACGGGGATATATGGAATACATGTGATATATGGGATATATGGGATATATATATATATATATATGTGATATATATATATATATGATATATATATATATATACATCGGATATCTGGACTGGAAAAAGGTAAAGATATCTATGAAGGTGGGGAAGAAAACGAGATATGTGTCATCATTTGAGCAGTATCTTTGCTCACCTGGGGGTAGCCCCTTTCACCCGAGACGCAACGATGCCACCACCGCTTCGGCGCTAGGAGATTGCTGCGAACATCCAGAATCTGAGAGCAGAGGTGGATGAAGCCCAGGCCGTCCGTTGATGGAGTAACCCGGATGTTTCACAGCTAATATGAATCGGTACTAGTAAATGATTGAATTGTTTTAAATACTATAAATGTCAATTTACTACAGCAAGTTACTATGATTTATTGTTCTATTCTGACATATTTCCTAAAATTCACTTGCCATACTAACTAGTGAATCAATGATGATCAGTGGCATAGCAGCCCCAGGTGCATCGGAAGGAGGCGGAGCAACAGGTGGTGGAGGCTGAACAGCAGCGGGCCCAGGCGAGGCGAATTTTTGGCGCGTTTTGGTGAAGGGTTCATTGGCAAATCATTGGAGATTCAATGGCAATTATTGTCATTGGATTGGTTTAAGGGAAAGTCTACAGGAAACCATGGTTTTTACCATCAAATATAGGGCTTTCCTGTAAATTTTCCCATCATCCAATTCTATGATATTGGAAATCATTGGAAATCCAGTTTGAAACAGATTTTCAAGCACGAAAGAACAGATGGGATAAGTAGCATGATAAGTCTAAAACTTGGGAAAAATAGTCACAGACTTTTATTTGAATCTTTTAGTGAGCAATATCTATGGAAAAGGATAGGAAACACTTGCCCCATTAGTAAAATTTCCCCTTCCTCACAGTTCCATGAGGATTCCTTGCCAAGATTCACAATCCCCAGTCGCTGGTTCGGGGATGATCCGTTTTCGCCGTTGGCTTCTCCCAAGTGTTGAGAAAATCGACTTCGGTTTGAGGGCTCAGTAAATGTACAATTTCGGGGGAGATTGGATTCCCATCAGCAGATTGCTGGTAGGAGCTCTCCAATGGTTTCGGGTGAGGTTCGGTGGTTCCTTCTCTGTTGTGTCAGCAGGTGCAGCTGGCGGTCAGCAACGCGGCGCGGGTCTCAGGTTTTCTTGAGCATTTGAGGGGTGCCAGTTGGATTATTGGGGATTTAACCAATAGAAATTGGGATTTATAGGGATCTAGCCGAACATGGGGATTTGAAGCTTTTATTTTGTGAAGTCTTTTGGATCTTGCCACCAGAGCGATGTTTGTCACCAAGTCACCTCATCAGCCGTGCGGAGAGGCACTTCATGTTTTGCAATTTTTTAGGGTCCAGCAGGTTTCTCCACCAATAAAACTGTTGAACTTTGACCAGGGCTGTCAGCGCTGAGGAAAAGGGCCTCCAAAGCACCAAGGGCCACTTGCAACAACTGAGTCCTGATCAGCTTCAGGATGGCTTTGGCTGGAGTTGCGGGAGGTCACGAAGTTTGTATCTCCCTGAACGGGTTTCCCAAGATCGTTCGAGACGAGTTCGTTACCCTCCATTTTGGTGCCCCAATGGGGACTATTCTTACCCCTCCCATTTAGGGCCTGGCAGCCGCCCTTGCTGCGCAGGCGCGCAGTGAGCTTCAAGCCCTGCAACGGCGGCAGCAGGCACGACGGCCAGGGTTTTGTCTTAGCCAAACAGCCAAGGCCCTCACAGTTGTACTACTTTCTAAACCCGATTAAAAACCAATCCTAAACCCTAAACCCTAAACCAATCAGAAGGCACAGGGTGGATTTTTTGAAGAGAACAACACCCCAAATTGAACATCAGGGCTGGTTGATGGTGTTGGGTTTCGGATGTTAACTAACACAGGAATCAACTTGAAATTAATGACTGTCCCCTGAAGCTCACAGATTTGTCACTCTTGGCACCTGAAACTCTTTGAAACGATCGACAGCAAGGAGGCCAGCCATCACAAAGAGTTGGATGCTGAACGAGAGAGGCAGCTGACGCAAGAGGCGAGAGCCTTCAGCCTTGAGCTTTGATTGTGGGGAACTTTGATGGGGAACTCATGGGGGATGGGGTTTGATTCTTAACTCAAAATTTTCATACCTTTTTATTTGGTTATTTTGCTTCAAGCAGCATCTTAGCCATAACTTTCGAGCCCCAAAAATGGAGGCTGATGAGCTGAAGTTGCGCGTGAAGCAGTTGGAGGAGGAGCTACAGACCTTGAGGGCCCAGAGGTGGGGCTGGGAGGTGCTTCTGATGCCGAGGCAACCCTGGTTGGAGAGATAAAATCTGACTGATATCGTTGAATTGGTGTAAGAAAATCTACAGGCTTCCCCCCTATGATTTTTGGTACAAACCAGGGTTTCCTGTAGATTTTCCCTTTAACCAATCCATTGATGATATGATGGGAACACATCTTTAAAAACCCACAAGTACAATTCATTGGGATTGGAGAAGGGTTTTTTGTGTTGTTGCTGTGGTGGCGAGTTACTGGTGTTTGGGGCCTCATCATACATATCTACAGTGTTCATGTGTTTTTTTGTTTGGACAGACGTCATTTTCATTCAGATGATCCCAAATGAGAGGTTGGAAGCACAAGCAAGAAAGTCTTTTGTGATCTGCCTATGGCTGCCAGACCCGAGATGCCATTTTCTGATCAGCAGTGGCAGCAGTTTCGAAAGGCACAGGCGCTGGCCAAAACTTGCCGAACGCGTGTGATTTGTTCGACCTATTTTTAGATGAGAAAATACCCAGATGGCCGTGCAGTGAGAATGAGAGTTCCAGCGTCTAAACCAAATACTGGTTTTCACCCCAGGCATCATCCTTGCTTGTTTGTGAAATTGCTATTGTGGCATGGGGCAACATGATTGGCCCCCCAAAAATCGACGGGTTCACACAAAACACAGATCAGTCATATCAGTGAATCTTCGGTTTCCTGGTTTTACGTCATTGCGCATCATTTGCGCTAATGAAAGCTCGACAGCATTCAAAGGCCAACTATATATATACACAACATTTATATGTATATGTATATTGTTATGCTGGTCAAATCCACATTTTCCACAGCCCACATTTACCAGGAAGAGGCCGAGCGCCTCACCAGTGGCCAGAGCCAGGAGGTGAGGGCAGTTTTCAGACGATATCAGAGGGGGGATCAACTGATCAACCCCATCCTTATTTCCTGAGTTTTCCTGGCTGATTTTGATGATCCCAAGAGGGTTTCATATTTCGGCACAGCCAAGAGCGGGTTTGATCCCAAATCCGAAAGTATGAACCTCCATGAAAACCATAGAGAAGCAGGGCATCAAAACGGGTAGCGCTCAGAATTTTCAGGCATGTTTTGAAGCGCTGATTGGCTTGTACTTGTAGCCGTTGATTTGACCCGTTGCTGATTGGCGAGAATTGGACCCACTTTTGTTTGCACATCTTGATGGTACAGTTCCTGTATATTGCATGGCTTTTTGGTGATTTCCCAATTTTGGTTCCTTCTCTCCCAATTTGCTCTTAGTTGTTGGGTGGTTGAATCCCAACATTCAGTTGCTTCCACCTCCCCAGTGTTTGTTGGGTGGTGAAGCTACCCCATTCCCAGGTGAAGGATCTGGAACAACGCCTCAAGGCCAAACGAAAGCAGAGGGCCATGGCGGAGATGGATCGCAGAGAGGCGACGTTTGGTGGGTGCGATGACCATGAAACGTGAGGATTTTCAGCGACCAAAATTATCTAAACTTTAACTTTCATATTTGAATACTATCTAAAGGTTTCTGATTTACTTAGTTTTGATATTAGAATCTGGTTATTGACCAGCAAAATTATGGAAATGGATGATGGTAAATTGTAGCGACAGCACAGCGACCGTAGATTGTAGATGATGGTTATGGAGGGAATTAAAGCAAAGTGGGTTTACTTCTGATTTGGGTTTTTTTCTAATCTACCCAGCATTATAATGCATTATATCTAACGGTCAAAATGATCGATGGAGCGATTAGTAGTGAAGATGGCAAAGTTATGGGTCCATAGAAACACATTTTGCCATATAGCCATCAAACATGAGCGTATTCGCACACTCTCGAGCTGTGTTTGTTCCCCACATCTTTGTGTGGGGTTCTTGTTTTTGGTTCTGCATCCCGCCGTCCGCCTCCTCCCGTCGTCGTCTCTTGCTCACACATAACTTATCCACACACAGCTTACTCACACACAACACACACACACAACTTGCTCACACACAACTTGTCCACACACAACTTGCTCACACACAACTTACTCACACACAACTTGTCCACACACAACTTGCTCACACACAACTTACTCACACACACACACAACTTGCTCACACACAACTTGTCCACACGCAACTTACTCACACACACAACTTGTCCACACACAACTTGTCCACACACAACTTACTCACACACAACTTGCTCACACACAACTTGTCCACACACAACTTGTCGACACACAACTTGCTCACACACAACTTGTCCACACACAACTTACTCACACACAACTTGCTCACACACAACTGCGTGGCAGGCGTGGCACTTGGGGACATGTAGCAGCACTTTGCGTGGCAGGCGTGGCACTTTGAGACATCCACCTTCGTTTCACCTGGCAGGCGTGGTACTTGGACACATCGACTTCCACTTTGCGTGGCAGGCGTGGCACGTATGGGATCGGGCTGGCTCCGGCGGCGCGCTTGGTTCTCAGGTGTCGCCGTGGGCGCTGCGGCTTTTTGCGTGGCAGGCGTGGCACGCTGAGACATCCACCTTCGTTTCACGTGGCAGGTGCGGTATTTGGACACATCGACTTCCACTTTGCGTGGCAGGCGTGGCACGTATGGCATCGGGCTGGCTCCGGCGGCGCGCTTGGTTCTCAGGTGTCGCCGTGTGCGCTGCGGCTTTTTGCGTGGCAGGCGTGGCACTTGCACTTTGCGTGGCAGGCGTGGCACGCTGAGACATCCACCTTCGTTTCACGTGGCAGGTGCGGTATTTGGACACATCGACTTCCACTTTGCGTGGCAGGCGTGTACGGCAGTGGGCTGGCTCTGGTGGCGCGCTTGGTTCTCAGGTGTCGCCGTGGGCGCCGCGGCTTTTTGCGTGGCAGGAATTTATACATGACGCATCCCCTCCTGTGACCAGGCGCACCCTACCGAAGGCACAGAGAGGCGCTTCGCTTTGCGGTTGACTTTGGCCGACTCCAACTGCCAGTGCACTGTCGTCCTCTACCACGAGCTGGTCCTGCGAGCGGCCGCTGACATGGGTGCTGCTCTGCCGGAGGGAGTCCAAGATACGCAGCCGGTGCGTGCCCAGCTCCGTGATCTCTTTCGCACTGCGCAGTGGCTGTGTCGCTTCACCTTCCGGGAGAATGATTACCAGCAGACATTGGAGTTGGAATGTCGACACCTGACGCCTTGTCTGCATGCCAGCCGAGCTGAAGCTGTCGTCGCACCTGAAGCCCTGAACAGGAAAGTGTCCCATTGCCAGATGAACAACGGTTGCCCAGTGGCGCCATTGGCTACGTTGCAGGTGGATGCCCAGCTTGGCTTGATTTCGGTGGATGACGTGGAAGCCAGCCTCGTCAGATGCTTGGTGGCCTTCAATGACGAGCAGCTCCAACGCGGCCATGTGATCGACAGAAAAAAAAGATCACGTTCATGACAGATCAGAACAGTTTCTGTGCAATCGGTTGCCGCTGTTCTTGTGTTGCCTGCTTTCAGTGGGAGCTACATTACTGCACTTGCCGCAGTCGCTTGGCAGGTCCAGCACGCTGCGATGTCGTCATCTTTGCTAGTGCTGTTGCAGCTGACGGTGCTCATGTATCTGTTATCAAGGTGCTTCTGAAAAAAAAGTCTTCATGACAGCCGAAGTTTTCTGTTGTTCTGCCAGGTACCAACTTCATCTCCGTCTTCATCACGCCCATGCTGCCGCTCCGCTCGTGGAAAAAATAAGCGTGCCTGCGAACCTATATACAAATATATATATATGTATATATGTATATATATATATATATGTATATATATATATATGTATGCAGCCATACATCCATCCGTCCATCCATACATACATGCATACATACATGCATACAACACAACTTGTCCATACACAACTTACTCGTACTTACTCTTCCACACACAACTTGCTCCACACCAATCCTTCACCATCTCTTTTCCCTTTCCTGCTTTCCCCATGCCATCTTTACCTTTCTTTTGCTGCTTGTTGGAAGAAGTTGACATGTGGGGTTATCCGGTCCTTTAATTTTTATCTTGGTAGATTTTTGTAACCAACATGGGTTTTTAAGGGATTATCTTATTGTCTGCGATATAAACCTCAAACATGCGGATTTGAAACCTTTACAAAGTAAGGAAAGGGATGGGACTCATAAACAGGGCTTGTGAAGCCACAGCTTGCGGCTATGAATAAGGAGTTTCTGAGGTGACACAGGGGTTGGTATGCCCCTATTGTACGTAAGTTTAGAGAATGAATATGTATATATATATATCTCTCTCTCTCTCTCTCGCGATATTGGGATGTACATGTGTATATATATAATTATATTTAAAACATGTATCTTGCAACAGATAGCTGGTAGCTGTTCAACGAATCATGCTAATGAGCATTCTGACTGTTCACTGGCTTCACTGGTGCTGCTGAGCCCTCCCATGTTGCCAAGGTCAGTCAATGTTGGTGGATTGATGTAAGGAACATTTTGAGAAGGAGACGGAACATATAGTTTAAAAAAGGCACAAGTAATGAATTCATGTTATACAATGTATATACATACATATGTATATATATATATATGTGTAATGTATGTATGTATGTATGTATGTATGCATGCATGCATGCATGCATGTATGTATGTATGTATGTATGTGATGTATGTAATGTATTTAATGTATGTAATGTATGTCATGTATGTCATGTATGTCATGTATGTCATGTATGTCATGTATGTCATGTATGTCATGTATGTCATGTATGCCATGTAATGTAATGTAATGTAATGTAATGTATGTAATGTATGTAATGTATGTAATGTATGTAATGTATGTAATGTATGAATGTATGTATGTAATGTATGTCATGTATGTCATGTATGTCATGTATGTAATGTAATGCAATGTAATGTAATGTATGTAATGTAATGTAATGTAATGTAATGTAATGTAATGTAATGTATGTAATGTAATGTAATGTATGTAAATGTAATGTAATGTAATGTAATGTAATGTAATGTAATGTATGTAATGTAATGTAATGTAACGTAACGTAACGTAATGTAATGTAATGTAATGTAATGTAATGTATGTAATGTATGTAATGTATTTAATGTATGTAATGTATGTCATGTATGTCATGTATGTCATGTATGTCATGTATGTCTTGTATGTCATGTATGTCATGTATGTCATGTATGCCATGTAATGTAATGTAATGTAATGTTATGTTATGTAATGTATGTATGTGTGTTATGTATGTTATGTATGTCATGTATGTCATGTATGTCATGTATGTCATGTATGTCATGTATGCCATGTAATGTAATGTAATGTAATGTAATGTATGTAATGTATGTATTGTATGTAATGTATGTATTGTATGTATTGTATGTATTGTATGTATTGTATGTATTGTATGTATTGTATGTATTGTATGTATGTATGTATGTATGTATGTATGGTATTGTATGTATGGTATTGTATGTATGGTATTGTATGTATTGTATTGTATTGTATTGTAATGTAATGTAATGTAATGTATGTATGTATGTATGTATTGTATGTATGTATGTAATGAAATGTAATGTAATGTAATGTAATGTAATGTATGTAATGTATGTAATGTATGTAACGTAATGTATGTAATGTAATGTAATGTATGTAATGTATGTAATGTAATGTATGTAATGTAATGTAATGTATGTAATGTAATGTAATGTAATATAATGTAATGTAATGTAATGTAATGTATGTAATGTATGTAATGTATGTATGTAATGTATGTATGTAATGTAATGTAATGTAACGTAACGTAACGTAACGTAATGTAATGTAATGTATGTAATGTATGTAATGTATTTAATGTATGTAATGTATGTAATGTATGTAATGTATGTAATGTATGTAATGTATGTAATGTATGTCATGTATGTCATGTATGTCTTGTATGTCATGTAAGTCATGTAAGTATGTAATGTATGTATTGTATGTGATGTATGTGGTGTATGTAAGTATGTAATGTATGTAATGTATGTATGTAATGTATGTATGTATGTATTTATGTATGTGTGTATGTATGTATGTATGTATGTATGTATGTATGTATGTATGTATGGTAGTATGGTAGTATGGTAGTATGGTAGTATGGTAGTATGGTAGTATGGTAGTACGGTAGTACGGTAGTATGGTAGTATGGTAGTATGGTAGTATGGTAGTATGGTAGTATGGTAGTATGGTAGTATGGTAGTATGGTAGTATGGTAGGTAGGTAGGTACGTAGGTAGGTAGGTAGGTATGTAGGTATGTAGGTATGTAGGTATGCATGTATGCATGCATGCATGCATGCATGTATGTATGTGTATATATATATATGATACATGTACATACAAATAGTGTATGTGTCTATGTATATGTGCATATATATATATATATACATAAATGTCGAGACAATTCGATACACTTGTATACAGAAGTATGGCAGTTTTAATTTCTGCCATTTCTGCCATGAGAAAAGCTTCGGAGGCTGATCTTCGCGTTCGACACCTGAAGCAGAAGGCGGCCCAGCGGTAGGATTTCAGCGGCCCAACCATGGGGCCATGGGATTCTTATGAGCAAAACATGGGAGGTTGTCCCTTAGACACCAACTTCAAAGAATTGAGAATCTCATCGGTTGTACCTCAGCTATTCTGGTTCCCAGAAATGGAGCTTTCCCCGGTACCAAACAGATTCCTCGAGGTGGACGGCCTGCACCCCTCTGTCGAGCTGAAGCGAGAGGCGTTCGGACTGCTCAGTGGCCTTTTTCCTTCCTTCGGTCCTCTGCGGCATCCCATGGGATGAACCTCTGACGGCGGAGATTTATGGCAGAAAATGACATCTTGGGTATTCATGGACTATCCAGTTATGGAATGTGAAATATCATGGAATCTTAGTTGATGGAATATCCCCAGATTAATGGGCTAGATGATTGGGTTATAAAGATTACTTGCGATTCCTTGGATGCACAACCCAAGCGCATGAACATGGGATTCCCAATTTGTCACACACATTGACTCTAGAAATGGGATAATTTTGTATTGAAACATGACCATTCATTTATTTACCTTATATGTTCTTTTGATACAGTACTTCCTTTGAGCAAGCGAAGTCTGGCCTGGAAATGGCTTGGTCGTATCTGCGTATCCACCACTTTATTGTCACCTTGGTGCTGTTTGGCTCAGGAGTTGTGTCTGAGGCTGCCACATCACACGGTGTGCTTCCGTCACTTTCCACGCTTTTCAAGCTTTCCTACTCAAAGCCATGCGTGAGGCAATTTGCATTCACATCGGCCAAGGAGGTCTGGCCGGGCTTGAGACGCTGCTAGGGTTAGATACTGGGTTCTTCAGAAACAGCAGCCATAGACATACAAGTTGCAACATGCACCGGAAGCCCCAGGGACTCCGTGTATCAACATTGCCAACCATCCCCACTCAATTTTTTAAAAGGCTCCTCCAAGGACTGCCGTTGGCCGGTGGGGCGTCGTGTTGTACCGACAACTGCAAGGGGATGTGCACTTTCAATCGGAAACATCTCCCAAGGCAAAAATAAAGGCAAATTTGCTTGTAAATTTGGACAGTGCTCGTGTACCACTTCAATGCTGCATGTGCGTTGCATATGTGGTGCGCGTGTTTTGGACCTGTGTTGCGCGTAGGACGCACGGATGTTGCACCTGTGTTGCATGTGTGTTGATGGGAATCCACAGGCAAGGCAGCGACGGCTGGCCAGTGCTACGCCAGGGCATCAGTTTCAGAGCGTTTTTTGCCGAATCTGCAGCATGCGTCAAGCATGCCAATGCTACTTGGGCAGTTGTCTGTAGCAGGTGTGAGCGATGAGAGTGGGCTTGTCGTAGGTAGAGCGTGACGTGAACAGCGCGGTGCAGTATGTCGCAGCACTGATTGTCGAGTTGCGGGCAGCAGTCGTGATGAAGTCGCATGCGTTTGCAAAAGTTGTCGCAGGTACAGCAGAACATTTATCCGAATGCACGTGCGGACATCCATAAACCCAAAAGCGCCCCCCCGGTTCCTCCAAAATAGGGACCATGAAGTTGCAACATGCGCTGGGAGCCCCTGGACTGCCTGCATCACCCTTGCTAGCCATCATCACCCAATATGATGGGAACAAGACTGGCCTTTTTTTTGAAGTCTCCTTTCAAGCACAGCTTTGATCCAACATTGAGATTGGGGGGCAAGAAGCTTCTAATTCTAGCTGTCCCGTGTTTTTTTTTAAGAACCTGCTCCGGTATACGGTACCCTTTTGGTCGTCCTATGAGGCAATAGAATCGAGTCTTGACAACAAAGCTTGCCAAGGTCAATCCCACCAGAAAATGAAACGCGTACATACACATTCCATGCTTGCCTTGTGCACAGGTCGCTTCAGACAGGTATTCTGCCCGGGTATTTTTCAACCACCCGGAAAAGGTTTAAGCATAGGGTTCTTGATTTCAAAAGGTATGCGGGGGATGTTGTGTAAGAAGGTTGGGGATGACCTCTTTTGAAGCCGCGCGGCATTCTGCAGGTGTGCAGATCGGCAATGCTTGCTGGGAACTTTTCTGCTTGGAGCATGGCATCCAACCAGATGGTCAGATGCCGTCTGACAAGACAATCGGTGGTGGAGACGATGCTTTCAACACGTTGCTAGTTTGCGAACTCACCTGGCATGGGGTTGTGTGCGTGTGCTCCTTTTCGGAATGCCGCTGCGCATGTCAAACATGGAAACCCTTTTGCAAACCTTGAGCATTTGATGCATGGTTGGTTGCACTGTTTGTCATGCTCATCCCTTCTTGGAGTGATGTTTTATCACGCCACTGTCTTTGGCATGGGCATGGGATAAATCCACCAATCACTTTGTGTTTTCCTCGTAGAAACCATGAATCCAAACTCCGAGGTTCTTCTCTGAGACTGGCGCCGGAAAACACGTTCCTCGATGCGTCATGGTAGATCTTGAGCCAACGGACGCCCGGTTTTGCATTTTAATGCCTTTTGCTTGGATTTTAGCCCAGCACATGATGGTGGAGAACTTTTTGTTCCAAAGGTTCAGGCCCTTCAATCCGTTGTCTAAGCTGAAGTAAGAAACGATGCGTGTTAGCTGTTAGCCACATCCGTTGTTCGGCTCCTGGCTGTTTGGGCTGGTCCTTTGGTGGTTAGGCAAAAATTTTACTTCCACAATTGACTTGAATCATGAACATGTTTTCCCGAACATATCGTAGATAAATTAAGCCATTATTGCAAACTTAGCACTGCTTTAAGCGGGCATGGGCAACATGTTCAAAGATGCACAGGAGGCTGATAAAAATGCCGCTTCAGACTTGTTCGCACACCCATGGTAATTGTCAGTCATAGTCATTTATCATAAAATCGTGATGACAAGATGTGACCATGACGGGCCATGAGGTGAGGGAGTGAGGGAGCGAGCGAGTGAGTGAGCGAGTGAGTGCGGGTATGCTCTAGTTTATCAGTACTACAAACTAAATCCGTATACGGATTGCACATATTACACAAGTGTTAAGAATATTTTGATGATATCCGAAGGAAGTTTAGAAGTCAAACTTCCGACAATATGGACAGATGACAAAGCAGAGGTGGGAAGAGTCAGAGAAGAGAAGAGAATAAGAAAGAAGATCAGAGAAGAGTAGAGTCAGTCAGAAGAAAGAAGATGCAGGTGCGCGAACAGGTAGAAAAGTCAGGAAAACTGTATTTTTCCAATGTTTTGGAGCTCCGGAGGGTCGAAAAGTAGGCTTGCTAAAGCGGCGGGTGCGGAGCCATTTGGTCAGATAAGAGATCAAGAATTGCACGTCGTTGTGGCGCGAAGCACATGTAGAAGTCAAATGTCAAAAGCACCTCATGCTCGGAGCACTTTTCGAAGCAAAGATGTTGAAAAAGTGCACGGCGCAGTGGCAGGAAGCACATTTGGAAGTCAAAATGTGAAAAGCACAGTGCGGTCGGAGCACTTTTGGAAGTTGAGATGTTGAAAAAGGGCGCGGCGTTGTGGCGCGAAGCACACTTCGAAGCCAAACATGTCAAAAACTGACAGTCTTGGAACACTTTTCGACGTTGAGATGTTGAAAACGCGCGCGGTGTTGTAGCGCGAAGCACATTTGGAAGTCAAAAGTGTTAAAAACTAATGGTATCGTAACACTTTTGGATGTTCAGATGTCGAAAAAGTGAACACTAACATTAGCAGTAACACTCACACTCACACTAACACTACAACTGCACCAACAACTACAACTACAACTTCAACTACAGCTACAGCTACAACTACAAGAACAAGAACAAGAACCAGAACCAGAACCAGAACAAGAACTTCTACTACTACTACTAGTGCTAGTACTAGTACTAGTACTAGTACTACTACTAGTACTACTACTAGTCTAGTAGTACTACTACTAGTCTAGTAGTACTACTACTAGTCAGTACTACTACTAGTACTACTACTAGTACTACTACTAGTACTACTACTAGTACTACTACTAGTACTACTACTAGTACTACTACTACCACTACCACTACTAGCACTACTAGCACTACTAGCACTACTAGCACTACTACCCTACCACTACTACCCTACCACTACTACCCTACCACTACTACCCTACCACTACTACCACTACTACCATTACTACCACTACTACCACTACTACCACTACGAATACACTACAACTACAGCTACAACTGCAACTACAGCTACAACAACTACAGCTACAACAACGCTACATTACACAACAGCGGAAACTACTCAAGTACACTACACCACACAGCCGCTGTGGGCAGTGCAGTCATTCCAAACAAACACGACTCCAACCACCTTTCGGTCCAGCAGTGGATTCGCTCTGCCGTCCATGCATCACAACAACTCACCTCTCCTATGGTTTCCTATCTTTGAAACTTCCGCCGCTGCCTTGCGCGGTACTACTGGTATTTGAACATTTTCTGAGTACAGTAGCGCGTACAGTCAGCATCCGGACATACACTGACGTAAAACACATTGTTAGATGCATGCATGCCTGCAAACATAACAGGAAAACATGAACTCACACTACCATACAGTACATACCTTCCGGCGTATTTTCATGACATTGTTTTTTAACCTGCAAAAGGCCCAAACAGAAATGAACAGCGTCGGCTCGAGGAAGCAACCGTGTTGTTTTTGGTGTACGACAGGACTGCTGTCATTGCGGCACGCATCCACAAAAAAAACTTGGAACAAATTTTTGGAGCAAAATGCCATTGACATTCTTTTCGTTCCCCCAAGAAGTCTTTTGAACCGAAGCTCCCAAAGCCAATCGGAAGGACCAGGCGATGATATGTTGATCCGTTGATGGATGTCCTTCTTGAGCATCTGAGGTGGTGGACGAAGTTCGCACTGGCACCTATCGCCAGCTCTTCCATCCTGAGCAATTGATCTCGGGCAAAGAGGATGCAGCCAATAATTTCGCCCGAGGACATTACACCATTGGCAAGGAGATCGTGGACCTGGTCTTGGACAGGATTCGCAAATTGGCTGATAACTGCACTGGCCTCTTGGAAATATTATCAAGGAAGGTTGTATTTGTTTTCTTGGAGGTATACGAGGTATTTATTTGACGTATTATATGCCTCTATCCCAATACCAAGGGGAAACCCGCGAAAGGATTCCTGGTTGGTGTAAAACTTGATTGATAGATAGAATTCTTTGGTGTAAGGAATAGTTGGCTTCAAAACAAGTTGGTGTAGTAATTGGTTGGTGTCAAACTTGGTTGGTTTCAGTAAATGCAGTGATAACCGATTGGCAGAGAAGCTAGGTGATGTTAAAAGTAGTTTGTCTTCAAAATCATTACCCAACTTGGTTGGTGCTACATGGTTGGTTCAGACGGTTTGGTGCAACAAATGTTAGTTGGACTTAAAGCGGGTTGGTGTATTTCAGAATGACTCTGAGAGTGAACATAAAACAGGGCAACATGCGTAAGCATTTTCTGGGGGCCGCTGAAGGCAAGAAGGAAGAGGAGGAAACAAGGTATGTTGCTGCTGCTGCTGGTGCTGCTGGTATTTAACATATCAGATTTGTAAGTAGCAACATCTACTGAGAATCCGAAAGATTGGCGGATGATTGTTTTTATATTGTTTTTATATACTGTATTTTCTTTTGAGATCACCATTGAGTATTCCCAATGCGACGGGGAAGATTTTTTTTGATTCCAGGATTGCAGGGCTTTTGTGTGTACAACGCTTGCGGCGGTGGCACCGGATCTGGCTTGGGCTGCCTGATGTTAGAACGTCTGAGTGTAGATTACGGCAAGAAGAGCAAGATCTCGTTCACGGTGTGGTGCTGCCCACAAGTGGCCACAGCTGTGGTGGAACCCTACAACACTGTCCTGTTTTTTGGTCAACGTTTGATTCTTTTATTTTTGGCACCAACCGTTTTTAGCTATCAATGCAGGGAAATGTGAACATTGCAGCATTGCATGGAACTGTGCGTTGGGGCCGTTTGGGGTCCTCTGAGGTGTGTCCATTCCCTCTTGGAGCACACTGACGTGACCATCATGTACGCAACTCGTTTGGTTGAAAACGTTATTTCACCGGTGCAGACCCATTGAACACTTGATCTACATGTGGTGCAACCAATATTACATAACTAATGCATAATTTTTCTTACATATATAATAAATACAATGCAACATATATGTATATTTTTCCATGGTTCAACCGTTTGAGGCATTTGTCAGAGACAGCTTTGTGCTTAGGACAACGAAGCACTCTACGATATTTGCCGCAGGAACTTGGATATTGAGCGTCCAACCTACACCAACCTGAACAGGTTGATTGCCCAGATCATTTCATCATTGACGCTTGCTTGCTTCATTGTTTTGTTTTGGCGGATGTTTTGCTTTGCCTCCCACAAAAAAAACACAACTGCGCGCATTGTTTAAATTCAAGTTACTGTAGAGTTTTTTTTTTCGACCTTCCGCCAGAGCAAACCATATCATAGCATCCCAATTTGTTCTTACCTACAAAACCAGGCACCAAAGCAGTCATTTCCAAAACAACATCCCTGATTGCATCCTTTACCCCGTTGCCATTCCGATTCCATTATGTTCCTATTTGGAGGATCATCACACCTAGTAAGTGGTTAATAAGTCTGGACCCTTTGTATTAAGTCCCCTAAGTGGTTTGTCTCATGGATAAATGGCTTATAACCCCAGTTGCTAAGAAGATACTAAGTCGGGTGATCCTCCAAGTGTTGTATTCATGCAAATGATATTTTTGAGGCAAAGGGTCCTACATGACCCATATATGCCCAACTCCCTGCTTTGCTTTATTCGTTGCTCCCATGCTAGCGTCTATGCTCCAGATCGTTTCGGGATGTTCAAATTTAGGACAGCTTCGCTGCGCTTTGATGGTGCACTCAACGTTGACATCACCGAGTTTCCTGGATGTGGTCAGCATGTTTGTTTTGCGGCCAGGAATTTAATCCCCCTAATATGAAATACTTCTCATATGGCCCCCAAGTCCGGCACAGATCCAATGTATTCTGGTCGCTTCGCGACGACAACCACCCGCACCGAAATTGTTTGCTCACGGCTAAACGTGTGAGCCCTCTCATAAAGACTAAAACACAATCAAACCTGTTTGTACCGTTTTGTTTATTCAACTTTGTGAGACCATTACAAACTTTGTCATTTTTTCCCGGGAGATATAGACTTTACTAAGTTCCGAGATGCTCCTGGAAATCCTGTTGTGCGCTTGTTTTGGCCTATGTTGGGCTCATTTGTTGGTTTTGGGGCAATGTTCATTCATAAGTATGTTGAGCCTAAATTGAGGCTATATTGAGCTATCTGTGCCCATTTTGGACGGTGTTTTTTCATTTGGATCTACTTTGAGCCTACCTTGGCGCTATGTTGGGCCATTTTGGGCCTATAGGGCCGATCTTGTGGCAGTGTTCTGCCTATGCCACCTATGTTGGATCCATATTTGGCAGCTCAGCCAATTTCACGGCCTTTTCAACAACCTGGAAAAACACAAGATTCTAGGGTAACATTTCCCCCGCATGTCACACCCCAAGTTAAAGCTTAATGGCTCTTGCGATTGCTTCCGATTGACACGTGCACGCAAAAAACGCCTTGGCACCTTCGGCGCGGGCGGTTCATTTCGTATTGAAAAAAATAGGTGGAGGGGACCGGGGGACCATCCCCATATTTTCATCACAAGCCGGTACAATCCCCCATTTCTCGTGGTTAAATCCCTATATCACCTAATTTGGACCATGACGGCTAGGTTCCAGACGAATTTGGTCCCATATCCGCGCATCCACTTCATGTTGACCTCCTATGCTCCGGTCATCTCTGCGGAGAAGGCCTATCATGAGCAGCTCTCTGTGGCAGAGATCACCATGTCTGTCTTTGAGCCAGCTTCCATGATGGTGACCTGGATTGGTTGAGTCGAGTCTTTTTTCTTAAAACATTTTCCTATTCATTGGTCAATCTAGACGGGCTGGGGAATCTATATACTTTCGTCATCTTTTGTCTTTTTGATGTTCCAAAGGATCCGCAAACCAAAGGTGAAGTGCGATCCTCGCCATGGCAAATACATGGCCTGCTGCATGATGTATCGTGGCGCCTCAGCGAAAAAATGGAGCCCTTTTTGAGACAGCAAAGATCTTATTTGGGTATGGTGGGCCGAGATGATGAGATATTTGTTATATAATGTTATATATATATATTATTCCCATTATTAATAACTATATATATATATTGAGATATTTGTTTAGTGTTCCTGAAACCGCTTTCTTTCAGGGTTTTGCGGACATGTCGAGTTTGACACGATGGGAATTGATACAGCCAGGCGATGTGGTGCCGAAGGACGTGAATGCAGCAGTTGCCACGATCAAGACCAAGCGCACCATTCAATTCGTGGATTGGTGCCCCACTGGCTTCAAGTGCGGCATCAACTATCAGCCACCTACTGTGCTGGGGTTTAATTATTCAGTACAGTATTTTTTCTATTTGTTCATTGGTAAGTTTGGGATTTTCTAGGGAAAATACCATGAATTCTAGTTATACGTCGGACATATACTGGATGATTACCATCTATCCACTTGGCGTCAGATTTGTCATTTTCTGTTTGGAACCAAGCAGGCCCAGCTGGCGGGGAGTTTCCATTACCGGTGAGATTACTGTAGGATAAGCTATTTCTGTTGGTTAAACTGTGTCAGCTGTCTGCATTTTTTTGGTTGCTAAACCATAATATCATAATATGTCGTTGTTTCTTGTTGATTTATCACTTTTTTGGAGGTTTCAAGCACCATTTTTTTGGGGCCACTTTGTCGGAGCCATTTCTCAGGTGGTTCCTGGAGGAGACTTGGCGAAAGTCATGCGTGCCTGCTGTATGATCTCCAATTCCACAGCCATTGCAGAGGTCTTCTCTCGCATTGACCACAAGTTTGACTTGATGCAACGCGGTGGTCAGAAATTACGTAAAATTCGGAATGATGCGGAAGGGAAAATCATGATGCGGACTTAGATGGGAGGAAATTGAACAAATTACAGGATGATTTACCCGTAAAGTCTGTTTGGCCACGAACTTCCTTTCGTTGAAGTGATGATTTTTTTAAAAACACTATTTGATTTGATGTGCCTTTGCAGAACCGTGGGATGAGACACATAAGGATATAGCGGGATATAACTGACATCGGATTTAGTGGGAAAGGAGGAAGGATTCAGCGATCCATTGCCCCATTTCGATGTGAAATTACACCGAATCTCTTGTTGGGCCTTAGTGAAAGGTCGGACGGCCATACGTTCGGAAACAACTACATAAGGTATATATATATATATTATATGCATACACACACACATGCATATTTGTTTTGCCGGTCATTGCCACCGTGGCCACCTGGATATTTTTGCAACTCTTTCGGGGATAGCAACGACGCCACACAAATACAACGACACAACTGCCACTGCCACTGGCGCCGGTGCCACCTTTTTAGGGAGCAAACAGATTAGGGTGATAGCGGCAAATATGATGCAGAGCTTGATAATAAGAAGCTTGAAACAGATACGATGTATATTTAGAGATTGGTTGGACAGAGATACAAAGTGAAACAGAAAAGTTTGACAGAGAAAGGTCCTGCTAGAGATAATTTTCATATGGATCACTCATCAGAGACACATTTGGTAGAAAAGTTCAGATTATGACACAGGTAGGTGACGACGGAGATCGTCACAGAGTCAAGTTATTTCAAGAGACAAGTCCCTTCCCCAACCCGCCTTCTGGCGTGGCCCCCCTCACTCCCAGCTCGCCTCCCAGTGAAAGCTTCCCCTCTTTTTTTGCCCGCCTTCTGGCACGGTGGCCGGCCTTTTGACTTTTGCGCGTGATGCTGCTCTTAGGAGCTTTCAAGCGCTAACAGGGCTTTGTCATGCTTTGTCCATCTAGTGTCAAGTAAATGCCACACATTATAGTTTGTATGAGACATCGAGAGCTCTTGATCTTGATCACCGAAAACATTCTTCAGACACATGTGGATCGCAAATCGTGTCTCTCATCACCTTGCGCGCCTTTGGGCCCTTTGGGCTTGTTTTTTAATTGCCCCTGAAATTACACTGACAGAATTGATTTGGGTTCTGGAATTGGTTCTTTTTTGGGCCATTGTTAACGCATTTCAAAGATCCGCCATGTATGCATGGGAAGCAAGGGACAGCATTGCAGAGGCCATTGGAGCCGCACTTGCAGCCGACTACCTCCCGGACCCAGTGTTTCCAGACATGGCATGTGCCCGACACAGCACGAAGGGCCGCCCCCATCTTTCATTGCTCCAAATTTCACAGTTCTGGCCTTGTTTAGCGCTAAGAAAAACAGAATGCGTGTTGGATGCTTGGATTTATGTGCGCTATCGTTGACCCTGTGGACAGCATTGAAAGGATTGATGGTGAAATCGTCACCGAGGTGGTAGTCAGCATTGCGCCACGGGTAATAGCACTGGCGACAGCAGGCTCCACGTTCTGCTGCCAAACGTTCACCTAGGCTGGCATCGGGGCTCGTCCTGAAGCCATCTTTTTGGGAAAGATCTATTTTTGAGGGGCTTGCATGCCCAAGAATGACGACGCCGTCTTGCATGTTGTCAGAGCATATCTTCGAAGTTGTGGTATTACACCCTGTTGAGCCTGTCAAAGGAGTTCTTGGCCAACACGCTAGACTCCTTCGACACGCAGGTGGTCGTCGCGTTTACGACCAGAACCTGCTCTGCCCCCGTGCCCTTGCTGTTTGCGAGGCGCGGGGGAGCTCCCTCGAGCTCGTGGCAGCGGACGCAGCCCCTAAAAGGGGCTTAATCTCAAGGACAGGTTGGGCTCCTTTTTATCGGGCACACTGCCTGGGTTCGCTCATTTTTCGCCGCTGGTCGGCTGCCTGAACCGGATACATGCCCGGCAAGAGGCAGGATTCTTGGTCACTATAGCAGCCACTAGATTTGTTTGCCATCGCAGCCGCTTACAATTCTTGCTTTTTCGTGCGCGTGGTAACCCCAGCACATGACGCCCCTTGCACGCAGACAGGATTGCCGAGCACGCGGTTCGTGAAGCCATTGTAGGTGCGTAAGGCTTCATAGGCACTGGAAACGGGCATTGCGCCATCATACACATCGCATGCAAGTGTCTTGTGGCAATTTCCTGACTACCCTAAGTTTTGGCACCTATTCGGGAGCCCGGCGCTATGACACACATGTGTTTGAGATAGAGATGGGTTTGAAAAAGAGAAGTGGGAGGAAAGAGGCAGAAGGAGACGGAGAAGGCTGAGGACAGGACACGGAAAACAAGGAGAACAAAGAGATGAATGACAGCAACAACAGCAACAACGACGACAAAAAGGACAGCAAAGGAACAACGACAACGAGAACAACAGCAACAACATGAGCAACAACAACAGCAACAGTGGAGAAGGTGGGCTTTTTAGAATGCTGCACGCTTAGCAGCAGTGACTGGAAGCATTGCCCAAAAGCCTTGTATCTTTGCGTCTTCGTTCTTGATGCTCTTCACAACATGAACCATGACACACTGAAGGCATGCATTTTCCCAATTCGTGTTGGCACACAAGGGTCAAAAACTGTAGACTTTCCGCTTGTGAATGTCCATGCTTCAGCGCAAGCGTGATGTCATTCAACATTCCAAGCTGAATGCAAGTGCGACCATCAGTTAGTTAGTACACAGTTCATTCTACACGGTTCAGGTACTCGAAGCGTGCTTTTGTCCACCACTATGTGGGTGAGGGCATGGAAGAGGGCGAGTTCTCTGAAGCTCGTGAAGACCTTGCTGCTTTGGAGAAGGATTACGAAGAGGCAGTGGCAGTGGGAACAAAATTCATGGGTTGACCGCAAAGATGACCGCAAAGAGTAACGTTTGTGGATAATGCAGAAAAATACGTTTGACATTCTTATTTTTTTTCCGTGTGCCTTTTCGATGATGCCGGGAGTGTGTCTAGAGGAATACCTTTTCGGAAGACTTTCAACAGTTAGGACAGATGGACAAAAACATCTTCATCCTATCCTCATCATCCTAATCATCATCATCATCGTTGTTTCGTCGCCGTTACTGTCTTCTTCATCATTGCCATCATCATCATCATCATCACCATCATCATCATGATCATGATGATCATCATCATCATCATCACCATCATCATCATCACCATCATCATCATCATATCTCATCGTCCCCATCACCATCATAGTCATCATCGCAAAATAAGCTTCAGCTTCACAATAGTCTTTGTCATCATCGTCCCATGATCAAGACTTCATCAGCATCGTTGTTGCCATCTTTCACCAGTATGGAAATACTTTGGCCATCACTTTCCCACATCTGGAAATGACATTGGAGGTGAGGGTGCCTAGTGAACTATTTCCTTTTGGTAAGTTCAAGAATGCCACGGTGTGGCCCCGCAGAATTTTCCGCCAAATATTCGCTATGTCCACTTCCTCGATGCCAATGCGTTGTCCCTAAGTTTTTGACTCTGATCAGGAGGTCTTATTGACGCCTTTATCATTCTCACCACCTCAACCACCGCTGCTGTCAACATTGTCTTCATGATGATCTGTGCTGTCATTCTCATTGTGACGATCATCTCATCAGGGTCGCCTTCTTGCTCTATACCTTTCACCCGAACCACATGTTCATCCTCATCCACGCAATCGTCATGATCGCCGTCATTCGTGTGGTCATCATCCGCATAACTCATGTGAACACCACCACCACCACCACCACCACCATCATCATCATCATCATCATCATCATCATCATCATCATCATCTTTGTCATCGTCATCGTCATTGCCATCGTCGTTGCCATCTTTGTCATCAACATCGCACCATCATCACATCATCATCACATCGTCATACCATCATCATCACAACATCATCACATCATCATCTGCACCATCGCAATCATCACGACCATCACAATCATCATGGTCGTCATCATCGTCATCCTCATCGTCGTCGTCACCGTATGTCACGTCATGTTATGTAATGTGATGTGATGTCATGTCATGTTTTCATCACCGTCATCGCCATCAGCAGCAACAGTACACTATGCACATCATCATGTCAGCCTCACCATTGCAATCGCAACCGTCATCTTTTGCGCCACCATCGCTACAACAATCAACATCATGATGATGATGATGATGATGATCATTCATCATCATCATCATCATCATCATCATCATCATAGTTCTTACCATCACAGTTTTGCCGCTTTGCCAAATTAAGAGTCGCGGTTATTAATGTTTTGATCAACATCACCTCATTCATTATCATCATCATCATCAACATCTTCAACATCATACCATTGTCATCACGACCATCATCATTATCATCAGTATCAACTTCGCTCCCGAGTTGGTCAGTATCATATCGTTGCATCAAAACCAACTTGGTCAAAAACACACATGTTGCTTTTGCGTTATCAGTATGTTCCAGAATCATCGATGTTCGAACCTCCAACCATATTTTGGAAACCATGTTCATGATGCCAGGTCGGCATCGAAACAGCAGAAGGCGAGGGCGAGGAGGATCCTTTGGTTTGCTTCGTTTTTTTGCGAAGTGCCATTTTCAGTTGTCGAAACTATAAGCAACTGTTGGCGATAGACCACAATTTGATTTTTTTTCCCCTGCACTGATCGTGTTGTAATCTGGTTTGCAGCGGTTTGTTTTTATATTTTTTTTTGGTACCCATCAAGACCGTCGGCTTGGAAAACCAAACCAAGGAAGGCTATGGAGACGAATTCTAAGCCTGTCAGCCTGATTGAAACTGCACGGTGGTGAAATGTTGGTATCACTCCCAACAGAACCGCTGATTGCAAGGGTCGGGGGGAACAAAAAGGCGCGAATGTGCTAATGTGCACACTCCAAAATCAATTTGGATGTTCCCGTTCCATGAAAGGAAAATTTGATTTGTGGTTTCATGTCGAAACATGTTTATGTTCCACACATGCGAATTTTTGCGTGACTTCAGGCAAACTGAACATGCGAGAACATTGCCAAACTTTGTGCAAGAACAAAGGACGGACATCGCTCATGATATCAACCAAATCGTAAAACTAAACTACACAGGAATTTCTATTTTCAGTAAAACTATTCCCAAACCGTCAACGGTTTGGACTCCCGGAAGGAAAATGGTTAATGGAGTTCAAACCTGCTCAACATTCACATCCAATGATGCTAATTCGCGATAAATCAGTCAGACTCACTCTTATCATTGCTACAATGATAACCACTTGTCATTTTTACTAATTTTCACTATTCCTACTATTGTTATTCTTATTATATATCCTTATTATCTCTATTAATTATTATTATTTGTTTTTGTTACCCTCTGGTTATTTGACGTAGCTATGGAGAATCGCCATTTTTAACAGGTAAATCATCAAAAAACAATCTATTTCTATGGGCCATCTATACCATGTCTATGTTGCATAACTAGAGGGTATTCGTATTAACATCAAAAACCTGGCCCATGACCAAGGCGCGCCAGCCGTCAAAGTGAGTTGGATGTCCTTGCGGCGGAGTTGCAGGAAGCTGACCTGGGCTTCCCCATGTGCAGTGTACATATGGGGGCTTTTTGGAATGGGGCATCCCCAAAAACCATAGGACCATAGGTTTTTTCATATGGCTATGGACCAATACCTATTAATACCATTTTTAGGGGATTGAACATCCATTTACCAGCTATTTTGATGTGAACTACAGGGGTACAATGTTTTGACCCACTGCCATATTATTAACATGGTCTAACTTTGGATGATTGGGGGGTACTCATCATTTGTAGGAAACTTCCTTACACATCGAATGTGCTTTTTGTTGATTGCTGCTTGGGGGTCTGAAACTTGGCGTGCCAGGGCATGGCGGAGGGTCATCAGAGCCGAAGCCTGGACCTTGGCATCGGAGCGTTGGACATATTGTGAGGTCATGGATTTTTGATGGGTCATACCCTCTGGTAAACTAACATAGCTATGGAAAATTGCCCATTTATAGTTGATTTACCCATTAAAAATGGTGATTTTCCATAGTTATGTTAAATTACCAGAGGGTATTTTCTCAACATTTCTCAACCAAATGCTTCTTTTTGGGCTAGCATGCCAAGGTTTTCCGACACCATCCCAATTGGTAGATTTTGACCCGCAGCATGGCTTTGCTTAATGCTCGATGTGATTCGTTTATTTTCTTCTTGTTCCAATAGGGGAATTCGCCATTAGATTTATAGGATTTTTTTGTTTCTTTTTAAATGGATTCCTTTTGCAAGTCAAGGTAGTGCCAGAAAAAAGCTTGAAGACGAACGAAAGCTCATCATGGAGGACTGATTTTAAGCAGCTCACCGGCTGAACCTTTGGAGAATGCAGACTTTTCAAACCCACAAACATTTCAGTTCTCAGCAAAATGCCCAAAAATAGACTCATCTTGAGACATTGTTTGGGTCCCCATAATTTTTCAAGACACCAGATGGTCCCAGTTGGGGATGTGTTTGATTTTGAGCAACTATGTGCTCTTTGATCCGGTGTGACGACCGGGTGTTACGAGGAGATCCAGCATATCACAGCCACTGAGCAGCAGATCGAGAGGGAACGCAGGCACGGAAGCGATAGCAGATAGCAGCTGAGACCATAACACGGGCAGGCTGAGGCGCATGAAGAAGGAAAGCTATGGATTTGTTTCATTGGATCAAGATTTATCAATTTGCTGGGAAAATAGCTGGGAACGGATGATGGGAATGGGTCAATGGGTCGGTCAAAGTTACCCTCCCCGTTTTTTTTTTGTGCATCACTTTCCCAGGCCATTCACCATGTTCACCAGTTCAACATGGCCACGGAAAATGACCCATTTGTAGATGATTTACCTATGAAGAACTTCGGGAATTCCCATCATTGCTGTAATTTAGATGATTTCATGATTTTGCCATGATTTTGCCATGATTTACCTATCATTTTAATGGGGGCCATGGCAAAGTCTCCCCTGATTCGCCGCAAGACCTGGAAGAGGCTGACGCAGGTCTGCCAAGACCTTGCCCAAGTGATCCCGGGCGTTTCTGGTCGAGCCGCGTCCTCGGAACGCATCGTTTGACCAGTGGATTTGGGTCAGTTCTTGGACAAACGAAGAGATCTAAAACGAAGGCCGGCCATGACGCCAGCTTACAACCTGGTGGTCTCATAAGTATTTTTCATTTTCCTGTCCCCACTCTGATAATTTTCCAGAGTGATAATACCACCAATTAAAGTAGTAAGCAATTTCAGTTGTTTCTCAGTTAACTCCCCATTTGCTGGTGGTTCAAACCACATTTGTTGCTGGGTAAAATCTCATTATTGCTATATTCACCGTATTCACCAATATTTCCCCACAAATCTCCAAGGTTATTTCCCTAAGCCTTAATTGTAAATGGCTATATTTCCCGCCCGTGGTGCCAGTGGTTCGACGCAGTTCGGGTTAGGTGGTGAACCTCTGCCAGCCTGTGCAGAAGAAATACCGCGTGGCCGTGAACGTGGCGCTTGGGGCCCTGGGAAGGGGCGTTCTTGGTGGGAGCGGTGTGAAACGGACCCTATACAATTGTCTCCACACGAGTTTTTTTGATAGTCAAGGGGGATCCCCAAAATGGATGGTTTATAACAGACAAATCCTATTAAAGGCCATTTCAGGAAACCTCCTATGAGATACGGACCTCATAGGATCAAATGGCTTTGTCTGAAAATGGAGACCTCAAATATCATTTTTTATGGATAACACATCATTTGTTTGGGACCCTACTTTCAGAAAAACCCTTTTTTATTGAATACGAATTGGATGGGGAGTTGCAAATTCGACGACCCATTTAGCTGATGGCTCATGTTTTTTGGCAAATGGATGGGTTTTGGAGGATACTGTATTTGATCCTGGAAAAGCAGTTATCAACGTGTAGGATTTTTGAGGTGGATCAATAAGTATTGGACCATCCACTTGATGGGCTGTGACAACTAGGGACCCATCAGGCCGTAATATTTGGCAAGGGGGTGACGGCAAGCGGGTGACTGCAAGCGGGTGACTGACTGAACATAGGGTGCCGGAAAATCTGATGGTTGATGAATTTACTTTCTCCATGCAAATGCCATTTTTTGGTATATATATATACATATTATATATATATAGACACACCTATTTCAAAGGATTCATCCAGTTGTAAAGGTTGCTGGTTCGCCACGGCGATCCCGTTTCTTTTTCGGTGCACTCGTTTTTCCAAGGTTGGGAAATTATATGGATGCGGTGGTCACCGACAGCATCCAACATGCGCGGCAATGTGTGCAACACCTGAAGGTGGCGCTGATAACATTTGACCATCTGAAGGTCATTGGATTTTGTGGTGAATATTGCCGAGAATGGGTTGAATCTTGTGTGTGGCATTGATGGTAGCATGTGAATTCCCAAATTTGTTGAGATGGAGTCATGTGGTTGTTGGTGGTTAAACTAGTCGCCCTTAGTAAAAGCCTGCCATCATTTGGTCACCAAGTCGGGTTTCTCCCACTCTTATTGTTGTTTTTTTGTTTTTATATCCCCATCATGATTATTTTTTATTCCCAGCACCCTCTGGCAAATTAATATAGACCCTGAACATAGCCTAGTTTTAGTGGTTTCACTAATCTTCGAACCCCGATGACTGCCAGGGTCTATGTTAATTTACCAGAGAGTACATCCCAGAAAATATCCTTCTGGGTAGCACGACGCCAGCTTTTTGGATCGACAACGAATCCGGGTCGCACCAGGAGCGCATGATGGAGCCATTGACCTTCCTCCCCATGGATAATCTCAGAGCCGCGCCCGTGGATCAGCTGAAGGAGGCCGTAGAAGGGATACATCGCTGGCAGTTGATGGAGAGATTTTAATCCTTGATCAAATTACAGATATGAACTGTCATAGATGGGTTTCACTGTTTCACCCACTATTTTGATTAACATCTGATATCATATGATATCTATTGCAGATTCAAACTTATTTTCACCCACTTTCGTAGATGGGCCATGTTGGAAAACTTGGGGACTTCTACTGACTTCTACAAAGCCTCCCTTCCTGGCACCGACGCTCCGACGGGCCAGACGCTCCGTGGCCACAAATCCCTGCGACCCGTGGGGATGCTCAGTCCGGAGATGTTGCACCAATTTGGGAGGTCACTTTTTGGTTCAAAACGATGGAATCGGTGGCTTTTTATTACCCTCTGGTTATGTCAAAATAGCTATGGAACATCACCATTTTTCATGGGAAAATCCACTATTAATGGTCATTTTCAATAGCTACGTTAAATTACCAGAGGGTAAGTGATGTTTATGGAAGGGAAAGAAGGACTCACTCCAAGCCACGGACGTCCACATCCGCCAGGCGTTGAGCTGTATCTCCCACGAGCCGCACTTGAACCGGGCCTTTCAGTTCATGCTGTCGGTGGGGAGATGCAACGGTTGACCACTGGTTTCTATTATCCATGTCCTTCATTGTCCTTCAGAAGCACGCTTCTGGTAAGATCTGAAGTCAGCAGTCAGCAACATGCAAATTGCGGGGTGGTTTGAAATGTCCCCATTTCGATCCCCAAAGTGAAGGTGAGGATTCACCATCGTTCACTGGGCGTTCAAACGAGTGCTACCAGTGCTTCCAGGATGTGGTTGTGGCAGATTCGCTGGAAGATGGACGTCGCTTTGCCAGGAGCCCGAATGATGGGGGAAATAAATGAACAGATCGTTGCTTGGGTTTGGGAAACGAAATGATTTTGGGAGATTGTTGTCCGGGAAATGCCGGACCCCATTTGCTCGTGTTTTTAGCCTGGAGAAGGGATCCCACTGAGGATTCTTGTCAGAGTTGCAATCAGAGCTATCGAAAGTCTTGGGCGCACAGGTCTTTGAACACCTTAAGGATGCCGGCATCAAGTGCAGGCGCCATCTGTGATGGTTGGGCTTATCCATTGTTGGAAGGAGGTTTCCCTTTTTGGGCATGGGCCAAGACCTATGCGACCTTTTTTTGGAGGAACTTGCTTTTATTAGTTTAGTTTGGTGTTCCCCAGGATGCCAAGCTTTTTGCACTGGCCATGTATGAAATTGCAACGGTTGATTTGTGCTCTTGAGAAGCCGCTGGTTTTTGATCAGCACTTGTCTAGCTGAGTCTAGCTGAGTCTAGCTAGCTACAGCTTTAGAAATCTGTTGCTACCTTCCTTGGTACCCTCTGGTAAACTAACATAGCTATTGAAAATGGTCATTTATAGTGGATTTACCCATTCAAAATGGTGATTTTCCATAGCTATGTTAAATTACCAGAGGGTATATCGGGCATACCGGAGGATCCACGACCCATGGTTTTCGTTTTTCCGCCAGGGTGGTGACGCTGAATGGCGAAACCATCTCCTGGGATGGCAACCTGGCGGTTTGGGCGGCCCAGATGATGAAGCTGACAGATGGGTTGGGTTTGGCCAGAAAGCCCCATTGGATCCAATGGGGCCCAATGTCACATTGCAATTTTCCGGTTTCAGTCCCGAATTTTTCGGTTTCAGACATCTGCCGGCTTTTTGAGCATCCTTTTGGTTACTTTCCGCCTCCCTGGTCCATCATTTTTGGGTGGAGCTCCCATGAATTTTGCCACCAGAAACTCCTGAGGTGAGCTCGGAGGCACGGCAGGGCAGCACGCGCTTCGACTTTTCGGAACTGGAGACGATGAAGGGACGCCTGGAGGTGCCAAATGGGGTGATGAGGTGATGGTGGGATGGCATGGACTTCTGGGTTGGGAAAGGATGTTATACATATATATATATATAATATATTACATGGTTCTATGATATGTAATTGTTACGTATACAGATATATATGATACATGTATATATATATATATAATATGTACGGATAATTACGGATATATGTACATACAGTATTGTATGCACAAGTTTGGATTTGACTGGATGTTACAATGTTTTGGAAACTGAGTGTGGAGGCTTGGGGATGATTTGGGGATGGCGGATAGAACTGGAAATAGCGGGAGGCTCTCATGAGAACTGCGTCCATCCCTTCCAGCTTGTGCATGCAGGTGAAAACCCATTCTGCGTCTTAGAAGAAAAACCTTGTTGTGATACTCTGAGCATCTGTGTTGTAGCAAACGATCCTGAAATGGAAGGTACAACGGAGCTGACTTTGTCCATGCTCTGACTTTGGTGCAAGGCCATTGACAGCGAATTGATGGACATGCGCTCCAAGCATTCTCGCGAAAATGCTGCCTATGCAGCAGTGGAGGCCACGAGTGGGGTAATGAGTCTGTTGGTCGATGACTTGACCTGAAAATCTGCAAAACTGGAGACGGTGGCAGATAGATATCGGTCACAGCCATTTTTTTCCGGATAGCAAACATAAAGATATATATATATAGATACATAAAGGTCGAAATGTAATTTACCCTCGTCTGAGAGCAGGATTTCAGTAACTGTCATCTTTTCGGTGTTTGAACCAATCCATGTCTTGCCAGGATGCAAAGAAACAAGCAGAGCTTGTTGTGAGGGATGCAGAGCTGCGGGACCCAGTTGGCGCATGTTGGGATGGAACCAATCAGACGTCCCAATGAACGGCAGCCAAGGTAAAATTGATGGCAATGTATAATGTATGTTCTAATAAATACATAAATAAATGAATAAATAAATAAATAAATATATATATATAATATAATTATACACTATATACCTCTATAGAGAGATGGAATCATAAATACATACACACTATATACCCACGTACATAATTCATATGCATATTATTTTGTTTGCATTTTTCCAACCAAATTTCTGATCAGTGCTCCGCCCTGTCGCGTCTTGAGGCGGGAGTTTCAACGTGCAGAGGCGGAGCTGCAAAGTCGTCAGAAGGAGCCATGCCCCAGATTTGGGATTGATTCCAGATCATGGATCCTTAACATTTGGAGATTTTGATGATGACGATGATGATGATGATGATGATGATGAGGAGGAGGTTGCTGCTGTTGATGAGGAGGAGGTTGATGTTGATGTTGATGGCTGTGATACAAAGAACAACCAGCTTTGTGGGTCCATGGCTACCACAATCTTTGAGCCCCATTTGTTGGGGCCAAGTGTTGATTCTCTAAGAGTTTCTGCAATCGAAACCACATGTTTTTTTAGGGGTTTTAGGTTTCCAGCCTGCACATGTTGCTCATTTTGTGAACCCGATCATCCCATATTCTTGATTCTGACAAATGTACATACAAAAACTTAGCATCTTTTTTCCAGGAGGGAAAACATATGCCCAACAAATATTCTGAAATGGAAACAGCGAGGAATCTGTGATGTGATCAAAGAAACACATCGTTTCAGAGCTCCTCATTTCAGGAGCTAAGTGCAGCAGAACAGCAGCTATCAGAGGTGGCAACAGAGGATCCTAAGGAGGAGCATTGCTCAGCCTTCCATGCTCATCAAGCTGCAGTTGTTTGCGGGCTTTAAAACTGGTTGTATCCATTGAGTAGAACCCTTTCTGCAACATCTTGTGCGGTCCCTTCGACCGCCGCTGCTTCTAAGAGCCGACAGTCATGGCCTCACTCGAAAAGCGGAATTGAAGGATATCCGTCTTTTTGCTGGTTCAATGTGGTTCATTAATTATCTCATCCCGTTACTAAAGGGCATACCCAATAATAGACCGAAATTGGGATGGTTTATGACATATTTCTGTCTCTCAATGCCCAACCTTTTGCCCATGAACTTCACCAACCAAAGTTTGCAAGGAGGAAACGTTGCAGGCTGAGCTCAAGGACTTGGAACAGCGCATAGGCGATGCGATCCGAATCACGGAGCGGTGAGAATGTCGTTGATGGGTAGATTGGTGGTTCACCCCAATGAGTGGGCGAATTAACTAGTTAACTCAGCCTGCTCGAAAAAGGACTGTAAGTAGGGGCAATGTTCAGTTATAGTCCCAGTTTTGATGGTTGTTTCTCCCCATGAAATAATCAATCAACAGTTATTTTTGTGTTCTATCCCCATGTTATGTCAATGGTAAGGGGACGGAACTTACATCCGTTGCCACAGGCGTTGCCACTGCCAACCTCTTCCGTGCTCTAGATACGCAGCTGGGCGCTGATGTGCGTGGCATGGAGCGCGAGCTGCGACGGAAGCGGGAGGTGCGGTGGAGGTCAAAAGGACAGGTTCTGAATTTTCCAGTGGATTTAAGGGGGATGTAATTCCATGAAATCCTATGAAATCACATGAAATCCCATCAACTCACCATTTTTGTAGTGGATTTGAATGATACCATTTTTAGTGGTATTAATGATCAAATTGGGGATGTCACATGATTCAACTGATTTAAGCAACAATAGAAGGGGACTTCAACAACAAACTTTGGGGTTTAACCAGCAATGAGACATTTACCAACTATATGTGGGGAGTGAAGCAACAAACATGAGGATTTAGTCGACTAGAATTAACATATAAAACCAGCAACCATGGCGATATCATTGGGATATCAACATAACAAACAAAATATGATATTTGGGTTCACAACTTGCGGAACGGACCGTTTTTTTCATGGTCAGCAACTGATGCAGAGGGTTTTATTTTCTCAAATCTTGGCTTCTCGGGGTACCATATCAAATTCCTAGGTCCTTAGGTACCCATTAAACCATTGTTAACCCACCATTAACCTACTAGTAAGTTCACCATTTTTAAGAGGTCAATAATCATAATCACCTATAATTTTTCATAGATTTTTCCATAGCCATATGAAATAACAAGCGGGTAAATCCTATGAAATCCCATTAAATCTCACTAAATCACCATTCAACACCGTTAAATCACCATGAAATCACCATGGAATCCCACTAACTCCCATTAAATCCTACTAAATCCCATTAAATCACTATTGAACCACCATTAGAATCACCATGAAACTGCATCAATTCACTGGCTCCACCGGCTAGGCCCTGCAGTTCCAGGAAGATGCGGTGCTACGGCAGCAGGCCGCCTTCAAGGTGCGGAATCGCAGCGGGGTTCTCTGTACACTATACAGATAAATGTGCATTTATGTATATATATATATATACATATGTACATATATATATATATATATATATCATATACATACACACACACATATATATATAGGCTCATGAAGGCTGGGGGTTCCCCGGAAGCCAATTGCATTTTATTTGTATGGATATGGAAAATGTTGATTTTACACTGCGTTTTACAGTGTTTTATGTTTTTCTCTGAAAGTGTTCGATCAGCCAAAGTTTCAATGTCGGCGCGGATAAACTTGACGTTTGTCCGCGCAGAACAATGATAATACATTTACATCTTCCATGGATGGCCAGACATGTGTGCAACATTCTAACCATTGGAATTGCGGTTTCATGCCTTTTTGGTCGTTTTGTTGGTAACTAGAAAATGTCATAATTCACTGGAGAACCATGGACGAAATGAACATCACACCTTTTTCATCTTCACGTCCACAAAGGCTTTTTGAAGCAGTTGCTTGGAGCGAGAGCACCATTGGTCTTCTGCAACGTAACAACATCTTCAACGAAGCAACATCCTCAAGGTTTCCACAACTCTCAATCCAACGCACTCCACTTGACGTTATTACACCCCCCCCACCGCCCATCTCTATACCATAACAACGTTTATAGTATCGGCTCAAGACTGAGGGTGCCTGGAAGCTCCGGGGAACCCCCAGCCTTATATATATATATGTATATGTATATACATATATGTGTCACATTTTACAAGGTACACATAGCCAACATGGGGACTTGGATTTTGAACGTTCGGTTTGTATCTTGTAATCACAGGAGTGATGGCCATGGGTTCAGCAAAATGCTTTCCTTTTGTAGATGATACACTGTCGAAATCGAATCTGGGCTTCAACAAAGTGATTTCATGTCCATTAGGAAAGTCATTTTCTAAAACATTCTAAGATAGCGTCAAAGTATCCTACAATGCCAAGCCAGTTTTGAGGGGATGAAGATCCATAGATCCAAACTATTGTGTTCACCGCCCCCGGACTTTTGACAAGGCCGAGCTAGCGATGCTGGAACTCACCCTGGAGGTGACGTGTTTGAAGGGTCAAAATTGGGTCCTTTGTCAAAGTCTGATATGAAGAAGCGGAACATTTGGGGATTTCAATCAATTTCCGAGGCGGAATCTGGTGGAATACGATCTTTAAACACTTCACTTTTCAGGTTTCAGTCGAGTTCTCGGGCCCAGTTGGGAGGTCTTTGATTATGATTATGACCCATACGTCTACGTGTGTGTGTGTGGGCGTGGGTCAAAAAGAAGTCTCCCCAAAAAGTCACCAAAATGAGCATTCCCGGTTTAAACTCGGTTCTGTTCGTTGGGATGTTTACCTGGGATACAAGGTTTCACCAGCGACGACTTTTTCGGAATCAACCTGTTTCCAGTCTTATAGGAAGGTCTTTCGAGAATTGTGGAACCAGAACGACTTATATAGCCAAGTATAGGCTTTCTTCACATCTACAAGCCCTGTTCGTGGGATCGGCCTGGGGCACTCCAGGAATGCCGCAGCCGATCTCGTGGTACCATGGAAGACGAGGTCCGTGAGGATCCAGCGATGGGCACCTCATGGAACCCCAAAATGGTTGAAACCAAGAGGAACATCATACTCCAACACAATTTCCAGTCAGCCATACCAGGCTATGGATTCTTTTACCGAAAAAAGGCTCGAAAGTCATCGGGAACTCAAAAGAGGTAAATTTGAAAGATGATTGTCCTGTTTTGCGAGTGATTTTTTTTGCTGGAGTGCCAGTACAGAACATACAGCATAGCCCTATCATTGATGCTAAGAACAGTGGTTTGGTTCGATTTTTTTTCCTCAAACTACCCCACTGAATTTCACACTGTTTGTCAAACCACCATATTTGCATATGAATTTCCCCGTTTTTTGTTTTGTTTTTTTTGCTTGTTTGTTGCATCCCCAATTGGTCAGAGAAGTTTTTCTGTCGATGATATGTCTCATCAAAATTTGGGGTACCCTTGGATCTGCATCCAGTTATATCCAGTTTATAGAACCCATAAAAATCAAACTGGGGATATCTCAGAATAACTGGGTTAGTTATATATTAATAACCACTAAGTGTCGGGTGGTAACCACTAATTAATCATTAATAACCACTAATTAGTCATTAATAACCACTAATTAGACGGCATATTTTTTGGGCCAGTGACTTGCACAGTTTATGGTTCGGCTGGCCCGGCGCCGTGAGGCCACCGTGCAGGCTCTGCAGCAACGGCATCAGGAGCTGGACCAGCAACTGGCCGTTGGGGTCTGAGCCGGACCTGATTTTTTTTTGTTTAGCCTTCAAAAACCATCAAAAACCCATTGAACTTGACTTTCGATTTTGTTGTTCCACTCTTTAAACAGACCCTCTGATAATATATACAACGTAGCTGTGGAAAACATCACCGTTTTTCATAGATCATCTACAAGTCACCGGTGCCTTAGAAGCTACGGTAAATTACCAGAGGGTAGCAGTTTAGCATTTAAAATTTAAAACCATTGAAGTTGACGTTGAACCATCTTTTTGGAGTTTATTGATTGTTACAACTGCTACATAGTATTCAAGTTGTATAATTTTTGGGCAAGTACAGTAACGATTTTCAACCGACCATCCAATTTTTCTGACCCAAAGGGGATAGTGGTCAAGGCAAAACATCCAAAAAACAAGTTTTGTAAACATGGACAGGTGGAAATACTGTAACTAACATTTGGTTTACCCAGTTTACCCTGGTGGTTTTTGAGCAGTGAAAGTCAGCGTCTCTACCCTTTGGTAATCCAAATTGGCTGGAACTAAATGGTGGATGTTCCAGCTAGCCATGTGACTCATGTGACTGACGACCGGGCCGGGCAAGTCTCAGAAAAATATCCCCATATCATCCCATATCCCCATATTGGTTGAATATTTATCACCATAGGATGCCATTACCCTCTGGTAATTTAACATAGCTATTGAAAATGGCCATTATTAATGGGAAAATCCACTATAAATGGCAATTTTCAATAGCTACGTTAAATTACCAGAGGGTAAATCATATTAAATCCCCATAGAATCCTTCGAAAGCTTGCAGCGCTGGAGGCTTTGAAGGAGCAGGTCGACAGCGAGGTGGAGGCCAAGTGCGTGTGTTCCGTGTTGTCCGAGTTGAAGGAAGAGCCCAGTGACTCTGGTGGGTTCATCAGCAACAAAAGGTGGTTGAATGGTGCTTCAATGGTGGTTTAATGGTGGTTGAATGGTGATTTAATGGTGACTCAATGGTGATTTCTGATGATATAAGGTGTTTCTGAAAGTGGATGGATCCCCAAGGTCACCATGGTTGTGGGGGTACCCCCATGGATTGGACATGTCTGGGAAGTATCACAAGCCGTAACTGGGAATATCAACAGGAAAAGTGGGAGGAGAGCAGAAGCAAACAGACCCAACTTGCAGGGGTAGATTGGTAGATTACCGATCCCATGAAACTGTTCAATGAGGCCTTGATTGAAGGCCTCAGCAAAATGGCAATGGAGAAATCATCATCATCAGGGGTCATCATCCACTGGGGGTACCCTCCAGCAATTCAACATGGCTATGCAACATTGCAAATTCATAGATGATGATTTGCCTATTAAGAATGCGGATTTTCCACAGCTATGATCAGAGGCTAGCCCATCTTTAGACAGTTCAAGGGAGCCACGTGAAACCACGCGAGGCTTTGCAGAAACAGGGGGAGCTTCTGAAGTCTCAGGAGCAGGTTTGGCCAACCAGTCTGCCAGTGATTGGGGTGCAACATCCTACGGATCTTCAGCTTCTGGAAACGCCACCCGTTCCTGTCGAAAAGCATACATACAGTGGATAAAAATGGACGTTGGTGTCCGTGGTATAGGTATGTTCATGGGCCAGATGGTTTTTTTTCACTGCTTGTTCGATTGGTTCAGCATTTTTTTTTACCTTCCAAGACTGAAGGGTTTTGCACAGAAAGAATTGTGACCGATTTTGTGGGTTCGTTGGTACCGTGGGTTTGAGCCGTCAACACCCCGCACAAACCCTGGTTTAGCAAGTATTGGACTTGTTCATACTTGCTCACTATTCTAGATCGATATATGTATATACATATATATATATATAATTATATTATGTAAGATTCCTGTATTGAGATAGTAGACTATTTATATAGTCACAACTTTGTTTATTATTATATTTTTGTTTTTCTCTCTCTCTCTCTATATGTATATATACATGTAGCTACCATATTCTATAATACTCATATTTACATTCATCATAGGCATATTTGGTTGTCCATGTTACTTATATACATATACATGTGTGTATATATATATATACATACATGTAGAATGATATTATCGATGATGCTCGACAGATTTTTTGACCCATGAGGCAGTGGCCGCCGCACGACGGGACCTGAAGGAGAAGCAGCGCGAAGCTGCCGAGGCCGGGAGGATGCTGAGGACTGGAAGCAGCAGAAAAAGGGATTGTGTAACCAATGAATTCGGTAGTAGTAATAATGGGGCAATCTAAGTAAGAATGATATTGGGGGTTTCCATATTTTAATCCTCTAGGAATTGGGTTTGACGATGTTTGTAGCAGTTTTTATATCATATCCTCAAGCGCTGGGATTGATGATGATTTCAAGGATTAGAAAGTGGATTGATACAGCAAACATAGGGATTGAACGAGCACCCAGACGTGGGGAGATTCACCAACAATTCCAGGGATTTTAGATCCCAAAGATGGGGAGATGGGTAACTAAACAGTCGACCGGCCAAATGGAGTAGTTTGATAGTGCTATTGGTCAATTTTTGTAGGTCTATTGGTGTCATATTTCAAAAAATCACTCGCCTTTTTGGACCTTTGGAAAACACGGCTATTTATCAACAACTATGCGACTACTTTCCTTTATCACATGGGGGATACAGGTTCCGATCACCGTGCAGCTGATGCTTCATCCTGCTGCTGATGACATGCAACGATCGTTTGTCATGAAAATTGACTAACATTTTGGACGTTTCAAACGTTTTGTTTTCGTATATAGACTTCAACTGATTGGCCTGATGGGTCACTGTTTTTTTTTCCTCGTCCGGTGGTATTTGTAGCTGATGCCCGATCATTCCGAGTTAAACAGTGATTCAAGATGAGAACATTCATTAGAAGATATATATAGTTATTATGAGATACACTAACACTATAATTATAAGATGATGCTTGGCCACGTTCAGGGCGAACGGCGCCTGTCCATGCTGGGGAGCGAACTCAAGGAAGCTCGCGAGGTGCGCCCCCACGGTCATCAAACACATCACTGGGAAATCCCCCGAACGAGTCATCGAGGTTTCTCGCTGGGAAAATCATCGAACTATTGGAGGGGTTGGATTTTCCTGGACATGGTGACCTAGCTGGGTCTGATCACCATCGCTATGTCAGTGTGGATGTTACTGATGTTGGTGGTGACTACGCCAGATCGGGTGAAACATCATGATCATCATGGCTGCGATTCTGGTTGCTAGATTGAGATAGATTGAGCACGCTGTGTTCTGTTCTTTCCAGATGATGTGATTGGATTCCGCTAGTGTTTGAAGCATTGTAGCTCGAGAACAAAGAGAAAGACCCAGAACATGAAGGATTCATGGCGGTTCCTGCCAGAAATAGAAAGGCAGGGGGAATGCAGAAGCAACCACCTGGTTAGAATTCTCGGGGACCTTCGTCATCATATTTTCAGGCACGGTCCGTCATGCCCAAGTGATGGAAACATGGGCTTGGAGCGCGCCAACATCGATAGATGTGATATTTTTTTACTATATGACGATGACGTCCTGCAAGACCTCGAGCAGTTGGCAGTTCCAAATATCCCTGTTCTCTTCTCGTCGGATGACCAGGCTCGCTTGCAGCTGTTGTGCCAGAGCCTGTTGGAGGTGTCACTTCAGTGGGTGGATTTTCGCAGTTCTGGTTCTGAATTATGGATAGGAAAGCCGATCCCCTGTGCTGTGTCTTCATGCGATTGGATAATGCACGCACCTTTAGGAAAATCTGATCCAGGATCTGCTCTCCCAAGTGTTTGTACCATTCAATGACAGATTTTGGACCATTGAAGAAACAACAAAAGCTTTGAAGGTTGTATGGTGAAGGCAGAGCAATGCCCGTCATTTGTTTCGAAAGAAAAAGGTCCGGAGATCCATTCTAGTGCTGAACCTCCCCATCATCCTACTTCTTTACCAGTTTTACCGTCCAAATTGATTGTAAAAACTGCAAGACAAGGTCCAAAGTAAAAGATACCTTGGAAACCAACCCATTTCCTATATCCGTCATATTTGATCTGATCCTATCAGTTCTATCCCCCCAAGCGGTGCGAACTAAGATGATCATATCCCGCTATAGGACACACGGGTTCACAGGATTGGCTGAAGGGACAATTTGCAGGAACCCCCTGTATTTTCCGTTGAAGACCCCTTGTTTTCTTCAATTGATCGCTTTAAATCAACCCATCGAACATCAGAAAAAACGCGATTAAAGCTCATGTTTTGATGCTTTAACCATGTAAAACAGCTCTGAAATCAACCGTTTTGATTGTTGCTGTTCGATGGTTCAGGACGTTGATTTGCCATTCCTGGGCTCCAAGAAGGACTGCAAGGCGGCCCTGCGGCGAGTGGCTCCTTGGCGTAGATGGGAAATGATTGGGGGAACTATCCCCAAATTGACCTTACCCTCTGGTAAACTAACATAGCAATGGAACATCACCATTTTCAATGGGAAAATCCACTATAAATGGGCCATTTTCAATAGCTATGTTAAATTACCAGAGGGTACCTTGTAGGATTTGTAGGTCCCCTGAATTATGATAATTTACTGTATCCAGATCTATGCATGGATATTAAGTATGTGGCTATAGGGCTCCGACCGTAGTTATTCAGTACATGGAAAACGTGTAGTTATTTACATTTATGAATGGTTATAGTTGTAGCCGTTGTTAGGTATGCGACATAGTTACACATTCGGGTTTGTCCGAAAATGGGGTATGTCCCAAAACGGCCATTCTAATTGGGAAAATGACGATTAAACACTAAAATGTGGTCCTCCCCTATGTCCTGACAGCCCCATTTATGAATGGGTCAAAGCCACAATCATGGCTAAGTTATGAAGAATAGCTTTTGAATGCTTTTCTAATCTGAGGGATACACCATTTTATGGCCAACCCAATCTATGGCCCTTGAAACATCGTGAAATGATGGAACCCGCAAGACTATGGCCCCGAAAAAATTAGCAAAACCAGAAAGGGTATTTTTGGTCAGCCGTCGTTTTTTTCTTTTTTTTTCCCGGGATGGAGATGGACGACTGTCATTTCTCTGGACTATCCGATCGTTTCTTCGCCCCCTGGTCTCCGCGTCCGAGGTCTCGGCTGGCTCAGAGTTGGGGGTCCCCAAAGACTTGGCCGAGTTTGGAGGGGTCGCATCACAAATCAGTGGAGCAGTTGGGAGGAGTTTTGCGGTATTTTTTCAATGAGTTTAGACATGGCTTTTCCATTTCGAAGTGGCCGCAAGGGGCATACCATTGGATTGGGGTCATGTAGTATTGCCATATATCCACTACCAAAAATGGTTAGTTAGAAACTCTACCATCTCGAAATGGGAGGTTCATGATTGGATTTACCACATTAAGTAACTTCAAAATTATCTTCCGATGATCATGTAATTTGAGTGAAAAGGACTACGCAAACTAGTAACCTCTCCTTTCGTACTCGACCTTTTTGCTTTTGGAATAGAGAACTGGAGCCGCAAGCGCTTGTTGGATCCAACCATTTGAACGAAAGGTCCCCAAAACTCTTGCGCTTCATCGCTTCATCGGTTCATCATGATTTTCCTCATTCAGAAATGGCGAAATGGTATGCCCACAAGCAAAAAGTCACTATAGATCAAAGATGGCACGATCGGTCCAATCGTTCGAAAATCTTCTGGAAAAACCAAAGGTAAATAAAAAAGGGGCATCAAGGACAGTCATCAGTCTATCCCCGTTGGTGAACTCCCCCAGGTCCAGCGGACATGAGCTCAGCATCGACGTCCAGTTGGACTACCAGCAGCTGCCCGAGGAGCGTTTTAATCGTCGCGATGGCGACGCTGCCATGTGAAACATTGGGCAGAAATTGAGCGATTTAAGAACCATTTCACCGCAAAAAATGTGATTTAACATGATTTAGCATGATTTAAGCATCAAACATTGAAATATGAGATGTGTTTGAGAGACTATCGTTTGGTTTCTGGATCTGTTATTTGGCCCGTGGTAAACAGACGAGTTTATTCAGATGTTTTTTTCATAAACGCGCTTTTGCTTTTTTGATGGAAGACATACACAATCCAACAAAGATATGGGATGAAAATCGGGGGACTCGATGGACTCCATGGATCCGATTGAAATGGCGAAAAAACACCCACCAGGAGCGGCGTGCAGCAGCTGGCTCAGGAGCCTCGGTATAAATATTTCCAAGCTTTGGCCATAATTTGGATGAAGAATCATGAGGGTGAAATTTTGGGTAGCCTATTTTCAGACCAACCCATTTTTCACTTCCAGGTGAATGAGCCAAGGTCTTCAAACGAATTCAGAAGCGACTGTGAGCCCCCCATGGGATGAAAAGATAGGTCCATAGGTGTCGTGGCTTGCCTGTCTCCTGAATGTAGAAAACGGGGTTGGGTCTCCCGTGTGCCTGCTGTCTCCTGGGTATGGATATGGGTCAACAACGGGAACCACCAAGCCTGACTGGGTTTAGATCCAAAAACTGGTCAGTCATTTCTATATAGTGGATCTCTGGTCCCCGGGTTCTTCGATTCGACTCATCCTTGCTCTTTAAGGCTCCCATTGTTGACGATACAACCGCAGTTTTCGGTTCTATCAAAAAACTTATTATATAAACCCCTTTCCCAGGTGCCCAATTTCAAACATAAAAAACTTTGTTTGGCATGGGAGCAGCCAGGCCCTGCGAGCAAGTTGTTGGAGGACGAATATCGCAATGAGCTTCGACGTTCCTGGGCAGTGAGATTTTTTCTTCCGAGAAATGGATCCAAAAGTAGAATATATATATATATGTATATATATTTATGTATATATATATATACATACATACATAATTATGGGCAGTTGCTGGGTTTGATCATCTGGTGACGCGCCTGGGGTAGGGAATAGTTCTCATTTTTTAGCAGAACAACGGCACTTGTTGGATTGGATTTTGCATGCTATCAAGGGATCCTATGAATCTCTGAGGTTTGGGAGGACAGTTGGAGCAGGTGCAGCCGAATCTCAAGGTGCGGTGTTTACCGAACACCGCCGGCTGTTTTTCCTGTGGCAACTCAGGCCGTGCTCGAGAAGCCGAGAAGCGAGTGGCAAGAATCTTTTAGCCATTTGTTGGCCAAATGTTGCAGCCTTTGTTTTTTATCCTCCATCTACCCTCTGGTGAACTAACATAGCAATGGAAAATCACCATTCTTAATGGGAAAAACCACTATAAATAGCCATTTTCCATTGCTATGTTAGTTCACCAGAGGGTATTCAATTCTCATGCAGATTCGTGAAGTCCCAGGCGGCAGATTGGTTCCAAATCCGCCAGATCCACTGGCATTCCAAGTAAGTTTCAAAACAGGGTAGCCCAAAAAACCCTGTGGTTGAGACAAGAGTACCATAAATTGCCTGTTATAGACCCATGATATGAGGATATTAATCATCAATAATCAACCAATTCATAGGGATATAAGCCATGAAACTGGCATAGGGGTTTGTAGTTGATTTTAGCCATCAACCAATTTACCATCATGAATTAACCCATCAAAAAACCATGAATCAACCAGCCATCACAACCCAGATCCGTCCCGCTGGACCACCGCAGGCCATCGACCAACTGGAGGAGGCGGACCAAGAAGCCATGGCAGCGGAGCGCGAGGTCGCTGCTGGCGTTTTGCTGGTTTTGGGGGTCCCCTCTTGAGAGGATTCTTCGGGCGGAGATTTTGACGGTATTTTTGATGGATTTTGATGGGTTTAGATGTTCTTTTTTATGGTTACTGTGGCCCCAAGACCTTACCAAGGCCGCACGATGGAAGTATTTAACTTCTTGAGAGGTTGTTTGGGTCAAATTCATTTGAGGTCTCGCTTTTCTAGGGAGATCCCGATCATTTAAAGTCCTTCACCACAGGTTGTAGTTGACTAGGAACCAACCACCCACGGCTCCATACCATGGAAGCCGTGGCGGCCCAGCGGCCCAGGTGCAGAAAGCCAAGAAGAAGATGGAGGCCCTATGGGAGGATGGTTGGAATCGGACCCAGAAAATGGTTGTCATTTTTGGCTGGTTTGTGGCGGGTTTTCCTCAGCAGTTTCGGTTATTTCATGTTATTTACTACATTTACTGTTGATGAAGTTGATGATATCCCCATTTATTGTCGATTAGACTTGTAATTGAAAATCTATTCACAGTCTATTCACTTTTGAATTAACCATTCAACCATGGTTGTATCACCATTTATTTCTAGCAGAAAGCGGTTGGGCAATCTCTGGGCCTGGTTCCCCAACAGCTGTTAGGGTTGAACGGGTCAATTATTGACCAATTATTGATGAAACATGATTACCTCATAGGAATTATGATGAAACATGATTACCTCAATTATTGATCAATTATTGATGAAACATTATTGATGAAACATGATTACCTCATAGGAATTATGATGAAACATGATTACCTCAATTATTGATCAATTATTGATGAAACATTACTGATGAAACATGATTACCTCATAGGAATTATGATGAAACATGATTACCTCAATTATTGATCAATTATTGATGAAACATTAGGAATTTGATGAAACATGATTACAATTATTGATGAAACATTATGATGAAACATGATTACCTCATAGGAATTATGATGAAACATGATTACCTCAATTATTGATCAATTATTGATGAAACATTATTGATGAAACATGATTACCTCATAGGAATTATGATGACACATGATTACCTCAATTATTGATCAATTGTTGATGAAACATTATTGATGAAACATGATTACCTCATAGGAATTATGATGAAACATGATTACCTCAATTATTGATCAATTATTGATGAAACATTATTGATGAAACATGATTACCTCATAGGAATTATGATGAAACATGATTACCTCAATTATTGATCAATTATTGATGAAACATTGTTGATGAAACATGATTACCTCATAGGAATTATGATGAAACATGATTACCTCAATTATTGATCAATTATTGATGAAACATTATTGATGAAACATGATTGCCTCATAGGAATTATGATGAAACATGATTACCCCAATTATTGATCAATTATTGATGAAACATTACTGATGAAACATGATTACCTCATAGGAATTATGATGAAACATGATTACCTCAATTATTGATCAATTATTGATGAAACATTATTGATGAAACATGATTACCTCATAGGAATTATGATGAAACATGATTACCTCAATTATTGAGCAATTATTGATGAAACATTATTGATGAAACATGATTACCTCATAGGAATTATGATGAAACATGATTACCCCAATTATTGATCAATTATTGATGAAACATTACTGATGAAACATGATTACCTCATAGGAATTATGATGAAACATGATTACCTCAATTATTGATCAATTATTGATGAAACATTATTGATGAAACATGATTACCTCATAGGAATTATGATGAAACATGATTACCTCAATTATTGATCAATTATTGATGAAACAATATTGATGAAACATGATT